CAGGGGGGAAATTGTTAAGCAAATTAACGAGACAAAGGATTGTACGTTATATTTTGAAAACCCGGAAGAATATCCCGGTCGACCATGCATGGGTGCTGAGGGAAAACACGACCCGACGTCCCACTATTATGACGGACACTGCATAGTCGGAAGCAACGCCGAAATGGCCAATTTGTGTGGGTCGGGTCCTGTAACCTTGACCTATATGGGAAATGTCCTAGGATATCGATACGGACGCAATATATTCTGTTTGTTGTGCCAGGTGTGGTCTACTTCACGAATAAAAATTGAGGATTGTGGAAACGGTAAGTTCTTTCAATTTTCTAGGAATATAATAAGCGGTAACCTTTCACATGAAGATGTTGTATACTTAACGACCGTTCTTTTATGCCCCATTAACGTCGAACTGTGACCCTTCTACAAAACCACGGTGATCAGGAAAGCTTGGTTATTTTCCCAGTCCTCGGCCGTTCCAATAGATGGCTCTCAAGTGAAATGTTCGCTTTTGCTTGTGCTTTTTAGTCGTTGTGCAAATATCTGGATGTTTAGCTCACGCGAAACTGATACCAAAACGTGGTATAAACGTTTTGCAATATTTACCTCTCACAGCCAACTTAGCCTCACAAAAAGTGTTCTTTCGACGTTTAAACGCATTATCAAAAGAAGTTTTAAAAATGATTTTCAAAAATCTGTCTTACGGTCAGTTTTATGTCTCTTTAAACTTTTACTCTTTTAATTTATTCAAATTAATCTAGGTTCTTTAATGTAACCGAGGCACGACAACAAATATATTGTCCTTTTAGAAAAATCTTTATTCGTACTATCTACACAGCCGATCACTGGTGTATCCCACTTTGAATTACGCGCCAACCGCTTTTATAGTCCAGGGTCACATGACCCACGTGACATAAAAAGGGCGCTAACACCAGTATGCATATTCATATCACATATTTATATACAAGAGCTATTTATAATAAGGCACTTATATCAATGTACGCTACAATATACTATTACATATATATATATTTATACCTGTGAATACATGAAATACATGTACCCTATTACATTAATGTTATAAAAATTATTAACAGCTCTGAGTCGTTTATGTTGCTCAATTTGGTAATTGTATTATTTTCCTTATTATTATTATTATTATTATTATTATTATTATTATTGTAGAACTAGCAACCATGCAGTCAAAAAAGAAAAATTGATAAAAAAAAAACATAAACTTGCCCCTTTTTGGTTTTTATAGATCGCTAAAATTTCATTGATTTGTGTGATTTGTTTCTTGTTGATTCATTTTCAACCTTTCATCAACCATAAATGATAACTAACATAAATCACTTTATTCTTATATATATATATATATACTGGATATGATTTTCTTCTTACACTTCTTTCTATTATAGATCGAATTCATATAAAATCATTTGAACCAAATGGTTTCTCTGCCGAAATAGATTTTGAGAGGGAATTGCCGTGCCTCGAGAAGAAAACAGAGGTAAGAACTCATTTTGTGTATACTTTTTTCCAATGTCATTTATGCATTCAAGCATTATAAATTTTAACCGATATATCATATTTATGTGGAGGTAACAGAATAAGCACTTCTGGTAATTACTTATGTTCCCGATGACGTCCATATGAATCAGCCACCCGTACATACACATTTACTCTTTCTGTCCAAGAGAACATTAAATGTTTTAAGGCCCCTTTACACTGGACGGCGTCCTTTCTGCGTCCTTTCTGCGATCAAAAGTGTGGTCAGGACGCTCAACGGTCGCCAAAGCAATTAAATCGTGTCTCAGTGTAAAGGCGTCTGCGTCTGCTGTGCGTCCTTTGAACGACCGAATCTTGATTTTAAGCCCCCTTTACAATAGACGGCGTCCTTTCTGCGTCCAGCAGTACGGCCCCATTTGAGAGTTAAAAAATTATACTTTACGTGCCGACAGCTGGCCGATCATTGAGCATTCATTCTGATGCAAAATCAATACTCGTTCCTCCTTATTAAGACCACAGCGATGCCAAATTTCATGGTCGCAGAAAGGACGCCTTCCAGTGTAAAGGGGGTAGTACCTGTAAAACTGCGAGCGACCTGTGCATCCACTGAGCGACCGCCCTGCCTTCCCTGTGCGTCCCCTGTGCAGCCCACGGCGTCCATTGCGATGTTTGAGCGACCATTGAGCATCCTTGCTGCGTTCTCTGTACCTTCATCGGCGATCAGTCAGGGGCGGATCTAGAGATATTTTCTGACAGTCTTCCGAGTTATCTTTGTTGATCCATGCACTATTTTGACCGTTTGACAAAAAACATACGATACACGTCAATGTAAACTTGAAAATCTGATCGTCTTCCGGAAGACCCAGAAGACGGCCTAAATCCGCCCCTGATCAGTGGCGTCCATTCTACGACCATTCTGCATCCTGCTTGACCGATGAGCGTTGTTTGGGCGTCCTTCTGTATATTCTAACTCATATTTTTTAATCGGTTCTAACCAGGTCATCCAATTAAGAACATTTCCAGAAAACAAAACAAATAAATGGGAATAAACGCTTTAAACTTCAGTGATGCAAGGTCTGCATGGACTGATAATCAGCCAGATGCTCATTGTTATCTTTATATGAAGGATGGACAGGCGCCGAAAACGAGAAAGTATGACTGACACAATATAGAATGTCTGAATCTGTTTTCAGATGACGCATTCTGCAAAAAGTTCCGAAAATTACTGCATCTTGTAAAAAAAGGCAAAATATTCGTTTTATGATAACCTCCAAAAAATGGATCGGTTCATGAATTTTAGGGGAAAAAACAATCGGAGGCTGGTGCGAGACCACCATTGCCCTTAGAATTCCTGTCTGGTGAAAAATACCTCAGCACGGCCCCGTTTGAGAGTAAAAAAAATTCTATACGTGCCGAACACTGGACGATCTTTGAGTTTTCATTTTGCAACCAGGGCGATGCTTGTGCCTCCTTTCTACGACGCGGCGATGTTTGTGCGTCCTCTCTGCGTCCATTGAGCGACCTTGCAGCGTCCATCCTCCATCGCGTTCTCTCTGCGATTGTTTTGAACATGCTCAAAACTTTGCGGCGTCCATGGCGTCCTCGGCGATTCTAGAAAGTTCTTTGTGCGATCTTAGCGACCACTGTGCGTTCTTTGAGCGTCCGACGGCGTCCTGGCAAGTTTCATGGTCGCAGAAAGGACGCCGCCCAGTGTAAAGGGGGTTTTACTGCTCAAAATCTCGAGCTCCAATGGGAGTGAGCCATTAAATTGTAAGTGACAATTTTGAATTGCTATAATATTGTATTTCGACTTTTATATTCCTGCCCCTTTCTACATTTATAGTTAAGTGAGAGGTCTTTACAGACTTGACATTTAGTATGGAATATTTCAGTTTAAATTCTACGTCTTTTTGTTTCCTTAATTAGGATTATTCAATTAAAGTACAGATGTCACCGAGACACTAAGAGATTTTTGAAACTTTTAAACACTATATGAATCCCTTTTTTCATTTAACAATCAGAAATATATGAAAAAAATTGAAGAAAACGCTTTGGAAAAAAATAATTTCAAATGCCAAGTGTGTGTGTGTGTGTGTGTGTGTGTGTGTGTGTGTGTGTATATATATATATATATATATATATATATATATATGATCTCTTTCAGAAATCCTGCGGTCAATGTCCAGAGTCAGACAAAAGGTGCCTCATGCCCCTAACTGGAATATTGAACTTGAAGTACTATTTGAGCATAAGATTCACCCCTAAAGACAGTGTAATGGCCTTGGGTTCATTCGAAAGTTGTTACATCGACCTTTTGCTAACGTTGGATTTAACTCAGTTCCATCCTAAGGGGGCGTGGGGACACACGGAAAATCCAGCTGGCGGAATGAGATGTGACAAACCGACTGTTGACAATACCAACGGTACTCTTTGGATTCCAATTAAACTGAAGAAAGCTGTTAAAAATGTAAATGAAGGTTTGCGTTTGTTTGAGCAGTTCGAGGATCAAATGGCGGTTTTTATACAGCGTTATTACTCTCAGATAACAATAAACGGTGCCGACTATACTCTAACTGTCATGCGTAATCGTATATCCGGGCAACTCGTAGGGCCCTCTTTGACCACGCCTATTGAAAATGGCATTCCGCCAACTCTTCAGTGTTACGGAGGTCACGTTTGCCTTTGGGTATGTTCAATTATACTGATTATAAAATTTGGAAGAGTTGAGATGTAATTCAAACATCAGAGGGAATTAGTACCTCAATTAATAACTGATTACAACTTTGCAAAAAGACATTGTTATTTGACGATAGCCGAAGGACATTTTTTAAGATAATTGTGAAACAATGTAAGAAGTATGATAAGTATAAACAACATGATAATAAATCCAACCGGGCATTAAATGAAGACATCACTTAGTAGCGATTTACAAACATTAAAATAAGCGAACTTTGTAACTGACTATCATAATAAAGTTAAAGCAATATATGTTCCCCCAAACGGCTTCACTGCATATAATGTAAATGATAAGGGTGTTTTCTTAAATTGGAGGCACTGAGGTGATTGAATGAGAAATATCCTAGAGTCACTTAACGTAAAACGAAGCGAGATTTGGCTGAGACTGGCGTCAGGAATAATGTAGGCCCTACGTCTGGCTGGCGATTTTTGGATAGCATTCTATCTTTATAATTATATCCTGAGTGCTTCACGATTATGCTAGGGAGGCAAAAGTGAGTTGTTACTGTCATGCAAATGAAATTTTATACGATTGTCCGTACAAATTTTTTGACATCGTAAGGGGCTACGGGTTAAATATCAGACGTACATTTATAGCAACTTTGTGGTCAATTTCGAAAACACTTAAATCGTCGTTCAGGGTGTTTTTTTAATCATGAAGCCTGCGCTATTTACACTTTTTAACTTAAAGCGAGGGAACGTGGCCAGGGCACGGTACCATGGAAAGTTGCCAAATGTCATTGAAAGAGACAAGACGAGGATATTGATATGCTGCTAATAAATATAATATATTTTGCTACATGTTGTTTTACAATCAATATAATTCTTTGTGTTCCTCGTAGTCATTGTATATCCATACATCCTACTATTACTCTCATTGTTTACTTTATTATACGATAAATTGGTCGCGAGTTTGAAAAAGCGGTTGGTCATTTCTCGTAAGATAAATGGTTCTATTCTGAGATGCAAAAGATCAAGTGAATATTAGGTCTGTTTGAAAGAAAAAGAAGTAACAGTTTGGTCATTGCACGTCACACGTGCCGCATCGCAAACTGTTTCGCAATGCCATTGTTCATCAATCCTAATTATTCGTCATCTTTGTGAATTTAAGATATGTAGATTTAGTCGGTTCTGGCCATCTTGATGTTTCTCTCGCCAGCATTGAGCTTCCAGATCATGGCGTCGGTAAGAGCCCAGTCGTAGATCTGGACCTGAAAGTAAGAAGTTGTCTTAATAAGTAAACAACCCTGCCTATACCTTGCATAACTTTTTATCAGCGTAGTTTTAGTCTTCGGCACAGATGCCTTTAGTAGATTCGATATTTCGGAATTCAGATGAGATTTCATCAGTATAAAAATGCTTCTCAATAAATGATCTATATCATATTGGTCTTGGTTAATCGATAAATAAAACAGGAGTAAAATCATCACCAAATGTCATCAAGGTATGTTATCAAAAACACAATTACCTCATCGAGGAATCCAACAAGGTTGGTGTTGCTGAAACGAGCATCGACGGCCTCGCAGTTCAAGTCTCTGCCCATGTACAGTGGAGCAAGGGTAGCTGGGATAGCACCTGTAGAAAATTAAACACAATTTTAGCAATGTTTTTTAAAAAGCATTGTCTTAAATTAGTATTGTTTTGCGCAGTTTTTACTTATGCATTTTTGTTAGCGTTCCGATAATGTCGTGTGTAAAAATGTACAAAGACAGCAGAATTGTATACATTTTAGTTGTATTTAAAGTTTCCAAAAAAATTAAAGATACTGCTAATAAATAACTTCGGTACATTGACCAGCAACCAATTCAAAGTTGTTGAATATTTTTCTTACGAATTATAACAAAAATAACATTATATTATATTTTGTACCAAAAAATATATATTAAAAAAAAAAACGTTGTCACATACCGACAGCGATTTCATCAACCATAACTTTTCCGTTGACGTAAAGCACCAGTCTGAGACCATCGTAGACCATGGCGACGTGGTTCCAGCCGCTGCCACCCTGTGATATGAAGAACAATAATATTACAAGATTGTTAATTCTTTGACGAAAATAAGGTTTCTGAACCTAGAACTTTCCATTACAAACGTTTTCTACTGTAAATAACTGAACGTTTGTGTAGAATGCAATACAACTTCAGAAATATTTTTGCCGATTTTGACAACACTTACGTTCTTGCCGAGGTCGACGGTGAGGAGGGTGCCGTTGTTGTTGACCAGGACACGGCCTCCAAGATAGCCGCGGTCAGACCAGAAGGAGATGGTTGGCTCGATAGCGCAGTTGCCGTTGCTGAGGAGACCCTCACGGTCGTTCTTGGCGTGAGCAGCGTTCTTGTACCAGAAAGAGATGGTGAGGGCAGATCCCCATGGGTAGTTGTTGAAACGTGGGACCTCGCAGTGGACGGTGCCGTTGAAGTGAGCAGCGTATCCGACCTTACCGTCCAAAAGCTCTACACCAGCGCAGTCTGTCCAGAAGTTATCGACGGTGGTGTCGGTGTGCTCATCGAAAGGCCACAGGGCGATAGCCTGGAGATCTGCAAGAAATGATTCAATATTAATTATACATTTTCATTCCCTATTTAAGAGAAATAACATTGACCTTTCATCCATGGCGTAGGCGTTATTCAGCAGCATAATTTGTTTAAAAAAAGAAGAGGGAAACGCGAGAAAGTATTTGATGCTATCGTTAATATAAATATCAACGTTTTCGAGATTTAAAATATTAATCAGATCAGCTCATACCTGGAACCATGCACATGCATCTCTTGACGTTGAACTCCCACTGTCCGCAGCTGACACGCTCGATTCTGGTCTCATCACCAAGGGTCTGGGATCTGTAGAAGGTGTTGGCATCACCCCACACGGCCAAGTAGGTCCATCCGTCAGGGCCGTCACATTTGCCGTCAAACTGGGGAAGGGTGGTGTAAGCGAGGGTGGTGGTTGGTGGGGCGGCTAATGAAAAAAAGATTCCTCTTTAGGCGCATAAAAATTTGGAATTGTAAAGCATTTTGAATAATACGCAGTGGTGCTGTCTAAATTGCTTTTTAAAGTAATGCTTATTGGATAAAAAAAGTCATAATGCTCTATTTTTGTGACTTAGACAGCTGGTATATTCCTATGATTATTGGGTTTGGAAAATGAGCTCTTTCAACTTACTTCTTGGTGGGCACTGTGGGTATGGGACCTTGCTGCCTGGGCAGGTGGCGACCTCACATGGAACGCAGGTAACAATGGTACCGTCGAAGAGGGTGCCTTCAGCACATTCCTTCACGTGAACCTTGATGTTAAGGTCATCATCCAAATCGCACTGGAGATAAGTTTTGCAGTCTTCTGGGTTCTCGTAGTAGCCTACGCCATTTCTCTCTTCGATGCACTTCTTGCAGAAGTCGTTGAATTTGGGAGCTGTGAATAAAATGTTATGGTTTAAATTAATAAATATCACTCCAATCAAGAGTTATTGTTATCTTACAAGTTTGATATCACAAAAAAAAAAAATGAAAAAAAAAAAATTGGCAAGATATTTTGTAGATAAACTTTGGACTTCATATCCATGTTTTAATATGTTAATGACAATAAGCGGAGAATTGAAATATGCCTTGTTAATCATCTTTATTATGTAGAGTATATTCAATTACGTACCAAGATGATGCTCATCGTAAACAGCGAGGGCACTGCCCACCAAGGCGAGGAGAACAAGACGAAGCATGATGACACTGAAAACAAAAAGTCGAATTAATTAACGTGCCAGTATAATGTTAGCCGTAGATTTGCAACATTCTTTTCTCGTAGTTAACAACAGATATTGTTAAGAAAGTACGTAGAAGCTCTGCAAAATTTAGATGAAGTATATCGTTGCCAAACCTGTTTATAATAAGTTGCAGGTATGTAGCTAGCAATTTCAAAGAGCAAGAGTTCTTTTTTCTGAAAATGTGCCCCTTTTTACCCACTTAGTTGACCCAACTTGCTAAATTGGATGTGTATCCAATGTCGGTGAAGAGAAGACTTTTCTGGAGAAATAGGTGGCACTTTCGAACCCCAAGAACGCCTGCTTGCAGGCCATGCTGTCTGTCTTTGAAAAGATGGAAAGATACCCTAAGACTAGCGCGGAAAAGAAACCTAGAGACTCACCTTTCTACGGAGATGATCTGTCTAAGCTGTCAGCTAGCAAGATGAGATTCAACTGTAGGATCGGGCTTTTATAATCCTCCTAGAAAATTGTATCGCCTGATATTGACCATTAAGTGGTCGTTGCCATTAATAGAGTATCTTTAAGACGCTTTGTAACCACTAGACTCAACATTTTAATGAAGAACGAAGTAACAATGCAGCGTCTTTGCAGAGTCTCATCATGACAAATGAACGAGACTCATCAACGAACAACCTGACAATGCATCAATTCGACTGCATATTGTCAACATTGGTAAATCGTCTTCATTGAGAGCCAGTTGACAATGGTGGCCTTGCGTGCCCTCTCTCAGCGGACATGTGCACCGGTGACATGCAGATGACAATGTGAGATAGAGCCAAGATTGATACCTAGACTAACGCGCCATGCCGTGCACTTTCCACTTCATAGTCCAGTAGGGGCTGCATTCTCATTAGACATGGATACTTAACAGAGAAGGCACGCGGTTAATTAAAACACTAATCAACCTTGTCACGGTCGGCTAATCCAGCAGAAAGGTCGCTGGTATGTGGACACGTGGTTTTCACGTGCTTCACCAGTGGATTTCAATTTTCATATTGTGGAGCAAGGCGACTCAAGTAGAAAACAGGTGTTAGGGAAGAGCGTCGTATTATTTCAGATTAATCAACTGTCAATTTCATGTGAATCGCTTATGTGCAGGCTCGTTTTTAATCAAAAATTGTCCTTGGCGTTAAAAATGAGTACATATATAAACTTTGAAGTCACTTTGTCTAATTTAAATAAAACAGGAAGGTGATATGAGATGCAGACAATTTTTGCAATTTATTTTTCTTTATATCACATAAATCTTGTAGGAAAAGTACAATTAGGCTTTATTCGTAAAAAAAATCATGTGACAGCAACCTAATGTTGGGACAAACAATGATTTGGAAAGCGGGTACAGTTTTTGAATAATGTAAATTTTGACTTCGAGAAAGGATCAAAAACGTGGTAAAAATGATAGGGTTTACCAGGCCAAGAAAATCCCTTGCCTTCTTGGTATTTTGGTTACAAGGGCAGTGAGGAATACATGTCGTCTATAAAATGAATGGGTTTGTACGCATAATTCCTCAGAAAGGGGTATTTTAAAGACAAATTTATCCACAAATCTTATTTTTCTAAAGAATGAGGAGTATGGGAGTAGGGAAAGTGAAAATCCACCCTTAAGTTGATGTTGGTGTGACAAGTTGTATTCAGATTCTCCCTCACACCTTCCTTTTCATTAGTTGTTATGTATAAAGCTGTCTACGTACCCTATATTATCCCAACATTTATTTTAATTCATACATATTAGAAAATTAATTCTCTCGCAAATATCTGCAATTTTTCTGTATCACTGCAGTACACTATCCAAAGCTGCCAAAAAATTGGAATTTATATTTGTTTTCACGTTCTAAAAAAGGGCGCTCGCGAAATTTCAGCTGAGTCGCTAAGTATAACTTTGTATAAATTGTGTTTTTAAAAAGGAAAATGATAGATAAAGCACTTCAAGGAACCCATGCTGTAGAAACAGACACATTAAACTGAATGTATAAAAGTGTGCGAGTGAAATCTTAAAAAGCTATGCTGACTTGAAAGTTCAACAAAAACCAAAGGTTGTGGAGCGACTTGACGTTAATATGCTAAACCATCTAAACGCGATGCACATACATGTAAGACAGGCCCGTAGCCAGGGGGGGTTCGGGGGGTTCGAAAGAACCGCCCCTTTTGGTGGGAAAGGGTCCACTCTGAGTAAAATTTGATCTAGGTTCATGAAGTTTTTATGGAAAAAGGTCCACTTTTTCAGAAAAAGAACCCCCTTTTTGAAATTCCTGGCTACAGGCCTGTAAGAAGACACGTGTAGAAACTAATCCGTGACACACACACATTACTCGGGACACTGTCACCATTGCTCAAAGGAATATATTTGCCCATCTATTGTGCATAACATCCGGTTTTACCGGCTCTCTAATCCTGCCCTTCAATCGTCTACCTGTCTCTTTTTATTTGTCTCTGCTCGCGCGTTGGCGATCTGATTGAAGGAACTCGTCAAAAGAGGCGTGCTTTTGCCAACAACGGGGAACAGAGCAGTCAGCTAGCAAGTTTGAAGGATGCCTTTATTTTTTGAGATTTTTATCGTTTTTAATTATCGAAGGCGAATGAGTGCAACTGAGAATTAACTATGAGAAGAACGCTCATGAGAATCGCCTGTAAAACTATCAAGTAAAAACATGTGAACAACAGATGCTTTTCCAAAACCTTTTTTGTCATTGATAATCATAATAGGATGGTGTTTAAATGATGTCCACTATATTTCTTGAGCTCGCATTAAATATAATATTTTCAATAATTTTATTTGGAGGGAAATGTTTTGCTTAAATCGATTTTAAAGAAAAAATCAAATCATATTTTATTTTGAAAATATTTCCCTCTAGTTATCGTGTCCCCTCATTGTAAGTTTATTTATTGGATCAATCAGAAACGTAATGTGAAGCAACAATCTTTAAAGTAGAATCATATATTCCTCTAAGTAGACTTACTGCAATTACACACACACACACACACACACACACACACACACTGCACAACGTAGCACGTTTTCATTTTAATAATTCTACAAAGACGTAGAATTGCGTGATGAAATTAACACACTGTCTTTGACTATCTGAAACAATTAGTATTCTTTTAACAACTTGTAAAAGCCCTTCACAGATGGAATCTATTGGCCTGTAAGAAACAAGAGTGTATCAAAATCAGTGAATCAGATATCTTTGAACCCTCTCCTCCCTCTCCCGTTATGATTCAGTTTAATCTACACACAGACGTATAACCGCAAAAAAAAAATAAATAAATAAATAAATAAATAAATAAATAAATAAATAAATAGAAAGAAAGAAAGGAATCTTCAAACGTTGAATATTTGGGGCACTGAAGGAAACATTTGAAAATTCGGCAAGGTACAGGTCTCTTACAGCCTGGTTTTTACATAAAAGGAATCTGATATTGAGTAAATCGTGGCAGGCCATTTAACTTTCAATAAACGGTGATCACCCAAAGGTCATCGTCATCAGCTGCTCCAAACACACACACACACACACATACTCACACACACACACACTTTCTTCTATATATATTTTTTATTTTAGATAAAAACTTAAGATTTTCAGTTGCAAATACGATTGAAGAAGTTTCAACAGTATAATTTCTCTAATCCAGCTTTTTCTCAAATCACAGGTCATTAGATTGCGGGGGAGGGGGGGGGGAGGTTTTAACACGGTCCTTAACTACTTCAAACGCCACTGAGCTCCCAAAATACCTGATAACAAGTGACTTTTTGACTTGTATTGTGATGTGTCTGATAAAAGGTTAGCTCGTGCTGACGAAATTTACGGCGTCGGTGCAAAAACAAACCGTGACCACTCTCATCAGTGTCCCGTATCTGATAGCCTTGCTGATTCCGTGAACTTAAGCTGATGCCAATGAAACGAGAAAGATGTTTAAACAGCACGCTATCTGTGAGTTTCATCTAAATGTTTCTGATACCATATGCAAGTGTAAGAGTGGACTTCATTGTTAGTGGTCACTTTATTGGCCCTTAACAATTTGGAATATGTTGACCATTGGTAATTATGTTGGAAAAGAGACGCTTCTTTCTTTTCTAATGCGCACCTTGTTCTTCTGGCAGTATAAAAGCAGACGCATGTGAGAGACGCGGCATCTTGCCGGCTGACCGCTTACAGAGATCACATACAGGTGAGTGTCAAGGGCGCCGAAGTTTCGATTTTGCTGACGAAAAAGAAACAAGCGCTCACAACCGACGGCTTTTACAAAGCCTAAGCCGTTCGTAGTCAGGAACAAGTTTTTTACTGCGCAGAGTCCGACGTTATTTTAAATAAATCATTCAAGTTTTAAGATTCGTATAATTGTGTAGGCGTGCGTAATTATATAAGAGACTGTAAAGTTCGATGTCGTTTTTCGAAATACTACGTCATCGAAAGGATATATGGTTGACGATGTGTAAGTGGATCGACTATTTAACTCTGAGGGGGGACAAACAGGAATGAAGAGTTTTAAAAAATGTAATGCATGCCATGAGCCTATCCGTGAACTGGGGAAAGGGGTGCTGCTTGTGCCTGTATCAGAACCTTTTTATTGAAATACTATAGTATTTCTGTATCAGACTGAGAACTGATGTCACACCAGGTCAATAAAATCAAATGTTTATAATTTTCTAATAATTTTACTAATTTGAATTCTCGTTTCCAGTCCCATCATGCTTCGTCTTGTTCTCCTCGCCTTGGTGGGCAGTGCCCTCGCTGTTTACGATGAGCATCATCTTGGTAAGTAATTGTTGTTTACAAGTCAATGCACGTATTTAACAGTATGGTCATTGTTATAATTATCTCGTTGACTTTGACAGAAAAAAACTCGTCATCGGATTCATGCTTAAAGTAGATTGTATCTAACTTAAAAGAAGTCCTTAAAATAAACAAAAAGTAGAATAAGAAGTAACAAAGACAGCCAACGATGTTAAACATGTAACATTACAAGCTGAATTATTAAATTTATTATTATTATTATTATTATTATTATTATTATTATTATTAAAATGCCGCTTACGAGAATGTAAACAAGTCCACGTATTAAGTCTAAGATTATTGGGTCATTTTACAGCTCCCAAATTCAACGACTTCTGCAAGAAGTGCATCGAAGAGAGAAATGGCGTAGGCTACTACGAGAACCCAGAAGACTGCAAAACTTACCTCCAGTGCGATTTGGATGATGACCTTAACATCAAGGTTCACGTGAAAGAATGCGCTGAAGGTACCCTCTTCGATGGTACCATCGTTACCTGTGTTCCATGTGAGGTCGCCACCTGCCCAGGCAGCAAGGTCCCATACCCACAGTGCCCACCAAGAAGTGAGTAGATGGTTCTCATTTCCCAACATCTTAGTAATATACCAGTTGTCAACGTTACAAAGTTAAATTATTTTAAATAATTATGATTTTCTAATCAAATTTTACAAAAAATCATTTAGACAACACCGCTGATTATTTACAAAATGCTTCTTTATAATTCCAAATTTTCATGCACCTAAAAAAATTAATTTTTCCCCAGCCGCCCCACCAACCACCACCATGGCTTACACCACCCTTCCCCAGTTTGACGGCAAATGTGCCGGCCCTGACGGATGGACCTACTTGGCCGTCTGGGGTGATGCCAACACCTTCTACAGATCCCAGACCCTTGGTGATGAGACCAGAATCGAGCGTGTCAGCTGCGGACAGTGGGAGTTCAACGTCAAGAGATGCATGTGCATGGTTCCAGGTATGAGCTGATCTGATTAATATCTTACATTCTCTATAACGACAACAATTATATTAACGATAGCATTAAATTCTTTCTCGCGTTTCCCTCTTCTTTTTTTAAACAAATTATGCTGCTGAATAACGCCTACGCCGTTGATGAAAGGTCAATATTATTTTCTCAGGGAATGAAAAATGTATAAAAATGTATAATTAATATTGAATCATTTCTTGCAGATCTCCAGGCTATCGCCCTGTGGCCTTTCGATGAGCACACCGACACCACCGTCGATAACTTCTGGACAGACTGCGCTGGTGTAGAGCTTTTGGACGGTAAAGTCGGATACGCTGCTCACTTCAACGGCACCGTCCACTGCGAGGTCCCACGTTTCAACAACTACCCATGGGGATCTGCCCTCACTATCTCTTTCTGGTACAAGAACGCTGCTCACGCCAAGAACGACCGTGAGGGTCTCCTCAGCAACGGCAACTGCGCTATCGAGCCAACCATCTCCTTCTGGTCTGACCGCGGCTATCTTGGAGGCCGTGTCCTGGTCAACAACAACGGCACCCTCCTCACCGTCGACCTCGGCAAGAACGTAAGTGTTGTTAAAATTGGCAAAAATATTTCTGAATTATATTTCATTCTACACAAACGTTCAGTTATTTACAGTAGAAAATGTTTGCAATGGAAAGCTCTAGATTAAGAGACCTTATTTTCATCAAAGAAATAACAATCTAGTAATACTATTGTTCTTTATATCACAGGGTGGCAGCGGCTGGAACCACGTCGCCATGGTCTACGATGGTCTCAGACTTGTGCTTTACGTCAACGGAAAAGTTATGGTTGATGAAATCGCTGTCGGTATGTGACAACGTTTTTTTTATATAAATATTTTTTGGTACGAAACATAATATAATATTATTTCAGTTATAATTTGTTAGAAAAAAATTAGAAAAAACTTAGAATTGGTTGCTGGTCAATGTACTGAAGTTATTCATTAGCAGTATCTTTCATTATTTTTGGAAACTGTTTAAATACAAAAAATGTATATAATGTATGTAATTCAGCATTTTTACATTTTTACAAACGCTATTTGCGAAACTCTAACAAAAATGCACAAGCAAAAACTGCGTAAAACTGCTTATTTAAGAAAATGCTTTTTAAAAAAATTGCTTAAAATGTTTTTTTTAAATTTTCTACAGGTGCTATCCCAGCTACCCTTGCTCCACTGTACATGGGCAGAGACTTGAACTGTGAGGCCGTCGATGCTCGTTTCAGCAACACCAACCTTGTTGGATTCCTCGATGAGGTAATTGTGTTTCGATAACTTTCATCCTTAGTGATATTCAGCGATGATTTTAGTTCTTTTTTTCCTTGATTTAGTTTATCTGGAGATAAGACCGTGAAATACATAGCATAATGATGTTGACAAGTAATAATACGTTGATAATTTCCTACTTTGTGAAATACGAATTCAGAAATCTCGAAGGTACTGAAAGTATCTGTGTCGAAAACTAAAACTACGCTGATGAAAAAGGATGTAAGGCATAAGTGGAGCTGTCAGCTAATGAGGGCAACTTTTTTTCTTTTCAGGTCCAGATCTACGATTGGGCTCTTACCGACGCCATGATCTGGAAGCTCAATGCTGGAGAGAGAAACATCAAGATGGCCAGAACCGACTAAATCTACATATTATCTTAAATTCACAAAGATGACTGATAAGAATAATGGACAATGACATTGAGGCACAGTTTGTGATGCGACACGTGTGACGTGCAATGACCAAATTGTAATTTTATTTTTTCAAACAGACCTAGATTATACACTTATCATTTGCACCTCGGAATAGTTCCATTTAATTTACGAGAAACGAACAACATGCTTTTTTTCACAATCGCTTCTATTTTATCATATAATAATGCTGGTCTATTCGATATTAGTAATATTACGCTGTATAGAAGATGACCATTCGGCCATGAAAAACACGAAGATTTTATTGCTTGTAACACAACATTTAACAAAATATATTATATTTATTAGCAGCAATCAATCTCCTTTTCTCGTCTTTTTATCTATTATTGACAACTTTCAATGAGGGGCTTGCATTCCTCGTCCTCGTCATTTTTCCTTATATTGAATGAAAGCAAATAATGTTGGTATTGTATTGGCGCGCTGAATATAAGGGCGGATCAGAACGATCGACTTTAAATAGCGTATTGCTAGGTTGGAGAAAAACTGAAATTAATTGAATAGACTAATTGTAAGAACATTACTGGTACTACCATATAAAAATTGCTCAAATTCTGGAGAGAATGTGAGTGATAGATTTGCCTAGTTTTCACAAAAATTCAGTTTCAAGATATTATAATCAATGAATGCAAATAACCGCGGCATTAACCCGGGTTGGAACCCTGCATTTTGAACAAGTAGGCCCCTATTACTTTCATTTGATGAATGGGTTTTTGCACGTCGTTGAACATTATCGTGACAATACCAATTACATTGTGGTGCTTAAACCTGGGTCATTAACATATACATGTACAGTGTACATGTATCACTGCGCTTCAGGTACATGAACTTGATAGTTTTAGACTTTTTCATTTGTTTTAACGCAATTTATTTGATTATTTTTTATCAAACAACGAAAGAGAGAGAGAGACAGAGAGAGTACCCGTTTTGTTCTATTTTGGCGAACTGAAAATCGAGCCTCCCCCCCCCCAAAAAAAAAAACAAAACAAAACAAAACAAAACAAAACAAAACAAACAAAAACCATGCAGGGGTTCACAGCCTCCTATCTTCGGGGGCAGGTGTTAGAAATTATCTTAAGACCAACATCTCAGCCTCCATCAAATATAAGGCTGTGAGGGATTGTCTACTGCTTCTACGTACACACCCTATCATACTTTTAATTTTTCAAGCTCACAGGCACGTTAGAAGATACCCTGTAGAGTGTAGACCTAAAGTAAAATAAATAAATAAATAAATAAATAAATAAATAAATAAATAAATAAATACATCGGGTAAATATTCATCTGAAGATGAAAGTTATGCTGCAAAAGGTCCTTAATTGAGTCTCTCCTTTATTGCGGACCTGTTAGAGGCTTCTCTTGTAGATGTATCGATGCAAGTGCCTCCCCATTTTACACCTTGAGGACAAGCATGGCGTCGAATGCAAAGAAGAAAAAGAAACAGCTCAGTAAGGATGATTTGAGACGGCTCATGAAGGAAACAAAGTCAACTGTGACATCGACAGCAAGTAGAATAGACTCTCCACTAGCGAAATATCCTTTTTATGATATTAATAGCTTAGATTAGATGTTTGGAAACTGTAAATGTAATGAAAGCCGCTGCTTATATTTACAAACTGCAGTTAGTCGACTTCAGGTTCAGTGGCTAAGTGAGAGTTGCTATAACAAATAAGACATCTTGCCTGTTTGTGTCCCTAACACTGTCACATATAACAGCTTAGGTCACCTGTCCTGTGCTTTGTGCAACGTACCAGTGAAAAATGAAAAGTTGTGGAAGGCACATATTCAAGGCAGAACACATAGAGAGGTACTAGTAATTAGGTTTTTGTAATACTAAAAGTTAAACCCGCTTTTGCTATGCTGAGGTGACGGATCGTTTGTGTCCAAACGAAGCATAGTAATGGACCTTGAAAGACTTAACTAAAACAAGTTAGTATATGCTCTTTTTCTGTATAATATATTTAAACTCGAGGTCACTTATGTTGGTGAGGTGTTGGTGTTTAGTAATTACTGCTTATGTTTTACCAGCTTGTTGCCTCCTTAAAGATGAGGCCTCCAGCCCCTGTGCCTCCAGCCAACACTGCCAAGAGGAAAATGGTGGACAGTGGACAAGATGAAGAGGTGAAGAAATCTAAAGGTAATGGTATAATAATTTGTAATGCATATGTATAGGTCAGTACCCTGTTCATGTGAACTGGAGTAGGAGACGCAATGAAACTTGGAAATCACACTTGTCATTTTGCCTCAAACATCCTCAAGGGACTGGCTGGCCTGGTATTGTGGCCAAGTTTGAACTTTGGCGAAATCTTAAAGTTTGCTTAAAAATAGTATTTTTTTGTGTTTTTAAGTTTTGTTGATGTATTTTCATGTTTTGTAATTGTTCTTACTTATCATGAGAAAAAATTACTGAAAATATAATTATTACTTCCCTGTATTTGAGGGTCTCATATTTACAAGTACTGTTCTCTTAAGTTTTGATGCAGTTGAAATATACTTTATATAATGTTCTTGGCTATATCTGAATGTCTGAGTGCAAAAACAACTGAATTGATTTATCCTTATTTTTAGTATTTTTAGTATTTTTTAGTTTACATAATGTATTTTTATTTCTCATTTCAGTCACAAATAATTCCAGTAAAGGGTGAGTTACTCAGATTACTCAAGGCTTTTTATATGGTTCTGGAACAGTAAAATGTGCCAGTTTTACAGTTTATCTGTAATGTCAGACAGGAGCAAAATGCATGTGTTTATTTGATTATGTTATAATGAAACTTTCTTGAAATTTTATGAAACTTGTAATTTTTGAATAAAATGATTGTTCTTTGTGTCAATGTGCAGTTTCCCTCAACAAGTTTTTTCTTCCATATTCCTTTTTCCCCCAAATACTGTTACGCATAAAGTCAAAATCTAACTTGTTGCAGCACATTTCTTTTTTGTTCAGACTTCCAGCAAATTTTTTTGAGCCATCAGCTCCATCTGGTGGTAAAACCAACCAACAGCCTGCGCTTACACTGGGAGACTATGGGTCCTCAGACGAGGAGGAGGAGGAAAACGCTAATGAGGAGGGGAGGGAAGGAATTCCGGCATCAGCGGCTGGCAACTCTGGGCTGCCAGCAGGCAAGTTTAATTTTTGGTAGCAAATATCTCATTTTTTTCCCCAAAATGCTAAATGGAGTGGGCATTAGGACAGTGGGAGAGAATCAAGCTTGAAAGATTTAGACTATTACTTAAATAATATGCATATTTAGTACTTTGTGTTTATTTGTAACCTTTTTAAGAATGAGGCAGTGTAAGAAATACACAGTTAATGTAGACAATTTATTGTTGTGCTGGGCCATTAAAAAATTGTGCTTTCACTGTTCAATCCAGATGACTTGAATCTTGGACTAGTTAAGGAACTTGAAACCCACTTGCCTGGATGATTAGGGCAAATAAAAATGTTTCCTAACCCTTAGATTAAAAGGTTTTACAATAATCTGAAAAGTTTTCCATAAATTGCAAGCTTTTCAGTTGGACATGTTTTAGAAGTTGTAACTTATCTGGACTTATACCAAAATTGATAACATACTCTTTGTCTTTTAGACTTTTTTGACAGTGGTGTACCCCCTGCTCCCAAGGGGGAAGAAGAAGAAGAGGGGGGGACAACAGTACCAATGTCTATGGCTGACAAATTGCCAGAGGGTTTCTTTGATGATGCTAAAATGGATGCTAAGGTTTGTCTGGAAATGTTCATGTTCCACGTGTCTTGCAGATTCATAAGAGACAAAGCCGAAACCGGTCTATTAAATCATATCAATAATTTCAGCATTTTTAATTTTTCAACACACATCATTTTTAGTTCCTCCACATAGGTGCCCGTTTTTCAGAGCTCAAATCACCTTGTTATTATACTATTCAAACACATTTTTGTATGATGAAGGGATTCATTGCTGAACACATTTACGTATTATAAGATATTTTCTCTAGGTTCGTAAGGTGGAATACAGAGACAAGATGGAGGATGAGTGGGAGAGTTTCCAGAAAGCAATGAAAGAGGAGACTGCAGTGAGTATAAGCCAGCTGGACTTCATCAGGGCTACCATTGATATAAAGACTGATAACACAAATAATACAGAACAAAGTCCAGGAAAGTGCAAAATTTTCTCCTTTATATCAATGGTATAACCTGTCCAAACCATAAGATAATAATGACCTGTGAACCTGTATTTGAGCTCTTAGTTTCTTACTGTTATTACCAGTTATCCATAGTCTGTTTACATGTTTCATTTATTCTTAAATTTAGGTGTCAGCGGCCATAATTGAGGAAGAAGATGAGAGTGTGACGGTTGAGAGAAAAATTGATGAAATCGATGATCAAATGTTAGTCTCTGGGTTTTTGTGTATGCTGTGACAATGGAATTTCAAGTGCATGTTAAGCTGCATCTCTCATTTTTAAAAATCGATGTAGATTGTGTTTGTTTTGTGGAATTAAATCTCAGTTTTATCATTTGTATGACATGTAAAACTTGTATGGTGAATGTGATTATAATTTACAATGGTTGTATTAAGACTTCACAATGGTTGTGAGAAGACTCTCTCAATGCTTTCAATAATTTGTTGGGATTGTTAAATGCTTGCTGATCACAACTTTGTCTGGGTACATCTTTATGGACACGAGGCGAATTCCATATATTTATGGTTTGATAATAATTAACTTTATCTCTTTCAGAAATCGACTGAACACAATTACAACTCTAGCTCGTCAAAAGGAGGAAGTGATGTCGAAAGCCAAAGATACAGAGACCATGGACTCTAGTGACAGTGAGGCAGATGAAAGGGAATTTGAGGGTTTTCTGGACTGGAGAAATAAGAAAGAGTCTCATTTATGATTCATTCATGATATCTGTGTGGGAATGTCTACAAAAATTCATTAATTTTGATTTCAAACAAGTGAACTTTAAGGCAGTTTTGAGTCACAAGTTATAGCTCTGAAGGTAAGTACTCACAAAATTCAAACCAAGTTGATTTTTAAATCCAAATTTTCCCCAGTGTTTTATTGGGAATAATGGATAATAATGATTTTAAAGTTTTGGAAACAGAGTCGGTTATAGGTTATGAGTGATAATCTAAGGTCTCATTCCGCATGAAACTAATGTTCTACCTAGATCAATTCAACGGAGGACTTACGCTAAATCCAGTCAGATTAGCAGGTCTCCTTCTGGCGTTGAGTAAAATAAAGAAAAGTTGGTAATAATACCAGTGCGTTGGAAAGAAGAGGATGCAATCTCTCAATCTGATTGCATTCAGCAAGAGTCCCCACGGAGTTGGATCAATCTATGTTGAACAATAGTTTCATTGAGAATAAGCACTTAGAATAATTGTATATTTGAAGAAGAGGTGTTTGAATTTTGTGGGTAATTACCCTTTTGGCAGGTGACAGTTGTACTGAAGGAAGAAGTGCTAGTCAAGTAAACCTGTTCAGTTTTTGAAAATAATGAAACTCCTCTTTGATTTTGTATTATGTTGAAGATGCATGTAGAGGTGGTCAAATATATTGACTGGAAATTTCATGCAAAAAATCTGTGAACCCAAGTTTGTTTGAAATCCATCATAGTTTGTATGTAAATTTGTACATAGTGAAAAATGTTTAAGATAGATTTGAAATTTAATAAAAAATGTATATATTGTAGTTCTCTTACTTTCTTTTGAAAATTAGTCAAGAGCATAACGGAAAAAAGTTTCCCACCTAAATGAAAATGAAACAGTTTGTACAACAATAAACAATATTTGTTTCATTCAATAATTTATTTCATTGACTTTTTAATGTGCCTACAAAAAGCTGCTTTTGTACAGCACATAATGCTATTATCTTTGTGATAATAAATAATAAACTGCTAATAATTCTACACACAATTTCAATGCCTGCATCCTCTGGTATTTACAATCAAATACTGAGTACTACAAATGACTAAGCATGTCACAGTCTTATCTTGGCTGTGGACACCACCTATCGTTGTGTATGTACACCATGAGGTGGATGCACGTAAAACAGTGTCTAAAAATGAACTACAGCTCATAAATAATAACAATCACTTTATACAAATTATTTATCTTTCTCAAAATCCCTGTTTAATGTGTAATATTGCACTAACTACTGTGCAGACTCCCTTTAAGTAGTATGGTACTCTTCATGTATCAAAGTGATGACGCTTCATTGACGAAATATTATCATGTACATCACCGACTTCTATAAAGCTGAAATCTGATTGGTTATATAACCCCAACCTCTTCGGAACTGTGATCAAGTCCTGTTGATATGTATGTATCATCTCTGATTTCATAAGAAACTAAAGGCCATGTAGACCTTTTAATTAAAAATACTGTTATGGGGCCATTTATTACTCTTTGGCATGGAAATTTTTACAGAATTATAAATAACACTGTACTCGATACATAGAACTATAGGCAAACTACTTAATAATAATAATACATGATCCTTGGCAAATGAATCCAATGGCAACATATACTAAGGAGCCCTATTTCACACCAGAATAACACCAAGTGCTCCTTGAAGTGCAATAAAAAAGCAGATATGGTGTAAGAAAACAACAAAAATATGATCAAAACAATCCTTTTGTTGAAATAATGGAAAATATTCCAAATTGCAAACCAAAATCCAACATAATGATGATATTCTTAGTAAGTCAAAAGCCAATAGCTACCTTACAATACCAATAAATGTCCACTCAAATCCTACATCAGTGAAATACCATTTCTTCTTGCATTAAAAATATAAGTTGTATGTTATTTCATAATAATAATAATGATATAATTATGTCTCATTTTGCTTGGTAAAGAGTCAAAAACACTTCAGTGTAGGATTCATAATTGCACGAAGTGTCTTTTCTTCACAGCTACGAAAAATTGCACTCTTAGTGTGGAAGTAACACATTGCCCTTGGGTGGTTTTATCACAATATTCTAGAATGTATTATGCCAGAAGAAAAAAGGTGAATAGTTATTTGGAAAATTGCCATGATACTAAGTGTTTTAGTTTGTCAAATAACAGGTGGTTGGATTATCACAAAAATGTAAAGAAATGGCATTCAAATCAGGATGGAAAAATTAATGCTTCTTAAGCCAAACAGTTGTATTTACAGGTAGAGTCCTTGATGTCATTCTGGTAAAAAGAGATGACGGCAAATGTTGACCACATATGCACTTAAATGTGGTCATGATGCATTTTCACTTGTCACCAATGAAAAAAAAAGATGAATTTTAAATCACATTGTGAATTTTTGGAGAAGTAAACAATGGTCACTTCTGGACCTTTAATTTGGAGAGAGCAGTGTCACATATAACAGAGGTAGAAAATCTTTTAAAATTTTCAGAAACAATTACATATATTTTGTGATATCTTGCTTATTCAGTTTCTGGCACTGATCTCCATATAATGCTCACTATAAAGCAAACACTGAAAAAAAAAAAAAAAAACTATAAAAATGTCTTCATAATGTCTATATCCGCACCTCAAAATAATAATAATAATAATAATAAAAATAATTCTGCAGCTCACTTATTATATATGCTCAACTGACCATTCAGATAATGTGTACCATACCAACCCTAGGCCAACCTTTGTTCAGCTGAGAGCAAATTAACTTCAAATAATACAGAAAGCCCACTCAAAAATAAAGAAATGCTGAGAAAAAAGTCCTGGCAAACAAATAATAAATAATGATCAGACTTGACGTTCCCTGGGTCTGTCCGATTATCTTATGGTCTGCATAGCCAACTGTCCACTGACTTCTGTTGATATTCTGCAAAAAAGGGAGCTGAGGTTTAACACAGGAACATCAAACATACATTACATAAGCAATCCCCTGATACATTTATGGATTTTGCAAAGGCCTTCAATGCTTGGGAAAGGAATTTCAAATACACTTTACCAGATCTTACTCAGCTGAATTTAGCATTGTTTCCACACGTCTTCTATTTAAATTCACAGCTTATAGTAGTGGTTGCCCCGCTATGGTAGTTACTCACCAAATATGAACAAACTTCACATCTTTTCCAAATATTGTTTTAATAAGAAGATCAATTAGAATTTTCAACGAGACAGCACGACTGTCTGCACATAAGAATTGTTCATATTCATGGCAAAAAGCATTTATCTGTGAACACACAATGAAGAAATAAAAAGTAGCTGTTCAAATTTTGTGAGTAATTTCTTTAGGCTACCCTGTTTCTCTAACATGGTCGCATGACTTATATTGCATGGATCACACTAAGCTCATTAAAAGAGCCATTCATATATATGTACCCTGCTAACACTGATAAAGATAAAGCACAAAAACATCCTTAACTAGAGTTAGAATGAATAAATAAAGTCAAAACAAAAACTAAATACGTAGAATTGTTATGATTGTTTCAAATTTGTGAACTAAATTATATACTTTTTTCTACTACACCGACTTCAAACTTCATAGTTAACAGTATCATTTTTACTACTCTGCGATTGGGCACTTCATTATTATCACTCTACAGACTGAAGTTATCTTCATGACGTATAGAATTACATCAAGCTAAAAATTTAAAGCTAGCAAAGAGATTTGGGAATAAATGAGAATGTCTAAATTATTACCTGTAAATTTGAGATCTAGTGTAAGAATCATAATTTAAGTATGAAAGAAAGTGGAATTTTTTCTCATCACAAGGTACATTTAACACTTTTGTTCCCAATGATGAACTATATTATGATATGGCAAACAAAGGAGAAAGCAAACATGTTTACCTACACCTAATTAATGTGCATTTTAGGTATAAACTTAATTAGGAAGCAGTGGTGAAATTCTGATACAGATACTGGTATGCTATTTTATCCAATATTTACCCTACCCCACCCCAAAGAAAGAAACCTATACAAAAACTTGACCCCCCTAAAATGTACATTTATCTACCCATATGAAAGATATCTAATAAATTAAAGCTATATGTAAAATGGGACATTAAATTTCTTCAGTCAAATAGCACGCAGCTGTTATATTTGGTAAACATATAGTTATGTGACTATAATTAGGATGATGAAAAAAAAAAAAAAAACTAGTAACAATTTATTTACATCTTTAACCCCCATAATTCTCTGCGCACTTGCAGAAACAATATGGATGTATACTACCAGCAAACATTGCTGGGGCCTTTCTTGACTGTTTGTAAATAAATCTGAGCAAAATTGACTCTTTTACAGTAAATATATTCTACGTGTATAAACACTTCTCTTTCAGAGAGAACCTTTTCTGCCATTGCACCATGGATAAGTAGAAAATATGGATTTCTATGTATCTACAGTAAGATGGAAGAACCTTCTTCTTCTTCTTTTTTTTTTTTTTTTACTGACAACTGTCTTCAAACAGAGGTGTCTTTAAGTTTTTCTTTTTGTAATAATCTAAAAGAAAAAAGTCATGTTTTAGCCAATCAAAACTGAGATATTGTGACCTTTACCCTGACATATCAATATATGAAGAGACATACTGTCAATTGCACTGGCCCCTGTTCTGATGGCTTTTCTTAAGCACACACAAATGTGACTAGCTCCTTTTTTCCTGGTGGGATGTTACCCTGTAACACTTTCATTCCTTAAAAATATCAACAATATCCAACCCTCCATTTGCTGACAGCAGTATTACTAAATACTACATCTACAAAAAAGAAACAAACACACACAACTTTCTTCTGTAACTTCTCATGAATATAGCATGTCCTTTTCTTATACTCGCTTTGACTTGATGATCAGTATCTGTATATAATGTCTTAATGCACACTCTCACATCACTTGTGAATAATAATGTTACTGTGTGAAAGTCCATGAAAGTTTTCATGTCTTTATATAAGGCAATTTACACAATGATATCGTCCTGTAACAGATCCTACTGCTATGCTGTGCACCCTGTCAGTACGGAGCAAATTTACTTCTTTCAGCTTTGAGCCCATTAGGAAGGTCGACCCCGCCTTTCACCTTTGTAACCAGCGACTTATGCCAAACACTGCTCTCTAATAAACCAGCATTTAATCCAAGAAGTGGCATCCCTGACACCGACAGTGGCTTCATCATTGTCGGAATCATAGGTGAAGGTGATGAGGTCAAGGTCGTTGTAGGGTTCGAGGTCGGGTCAAGGGTCATTTGCATTTGCTTATGCAACTCCATGCTGCAGTAACAAAGGGAAAAAGAAGGGATGTTGGAATTAGATAGCTGCATCAACAAAACATAAAAAAATTAAGGAGTATCTGCGACCATATATTGAGTTAACTTCACAAGTTGTGGGATACCAACAAGTGAAAAAGGATCAGTGCAATATGCAAGTCAAAAAGCATTGTAGTGGCCTAGATATGAGCGTGCCGTAGTCCAAATCATACCGAAAGCAATATCTGATCACTTCTTTGGTGGTCAGTTATTGACAATGAGTGTTAATAAGTTGGACCTTCTACGTTAGCAGCAATAATTGACTCACAACTCATGCAAAATTAACCCAATATATGGTGACCACAGTGTTCCAAATTTCACAAGAGCGTGTGACTGCTACAAGATAAACTGAAAGACCCTTATAAATAAAAATTAAGTTTCTTTCATTCTTGCAACTACGCTCAATGAATGTTAAAAACAGTTGAAAACACTGCACAAAACATTTGGAAACTGACTGACAGGACAAAAAACACCACAATTTCCACTGGCCATGTTGAAAAGAAAGTAGAATAAAACAATTAGAATGTAAAAGAATTTCTAAATCAAATCATGCAAAATTATCTCAGATTACACAGCGTCCCACACCATTTTCACATGCCGAGTGGTAAGTAACATGAAACATACAGACGTAAATTTGGAAGATTTTTTTTCTGCTGAATGATACCCTTCCGTTAATTGTCAGTATAAATTGTGGTGTTTTTCCCCAATTAAAAAAAATCATAGCATTAACTGTAAATTCACAGTTAGTTAATATAATATTGCTTTTCAAAATCATTGTGACAAGCTGACATATTGTACTATGTGGTTGTGATATTTGATTTAAAGGACAAATTCAAGTATTTTTTGTTCTGGTTAAAGTTTTGGGCATAATCATGCTTCCATGTTTCATTAACCCTAAATACAAACCAAAAAAAGCTTGTATCTGTCCTCAGCACAACCACTCTATTAGGAATGTCTCATCAACAAATAATAAAAGTGAAAGAAATGGTGGATGCATTAAAATTTTTGGATTCTTTTTTAGGACAATGACAGCCTTGCTTTTTTTACGCGCCCCCCCCCCCTTCCCAAATTTTATATGAATGCTAATTTAATGTATCAAACAGTAAAACTTTGTAAAAAAAAAAAAAAAAAAAAAAGGAAAATCAACTAGAACATCATCTTTATAATTTAGTATTATTAGCAAATCCCAGTCTACATACTTCCACCAGTCTTTTCACATTTACTGACATTAAAAAACAATATGGTGTACTACTTTTTTTCTAACTGTGCAACATCTACATGTAGTTTCTATAAACTTTCCCATAAGGTCCGTAGCCAAGACTGAGAAAAATCACATTTAGAAAATACTCATGGACACTCCATTGCAAGAAGGAAAGGCATAATAAATACCCATTTTGTGTTTTAGGCAGTCGAAAAGTACTACATGGACTGCGGAAAAGGAGAAGGCAGAAAATACAGTGGACGTGACAAATATCTAACAAGATTAGATTTGAACATACTGTAATAAGCCACGTTCAGATCAATTTTACCATCAATTGTTTTAGCTCTCAGATCAGTTTCACAACTCCCCCTCACTTTGCATCCTGATGACAAGGATTGCAAGTGTGAAAAATTGTAAATCAACATCTTCATGAAGTTAGAACTAAAACAGATTTTTATGTTAAAAAGATCTGTACGTAGCCTTATTATTATGAGAACTATAAGGATTTAAAGCCGCTTGTGACAGAAATGTACATAAACAAATATATTGTGAGGATACACATATTATATATATTGAGAACTGTAAGGATAACAGGATCTGGAACTGGTAATATATTGAGCTCTGTAAGGAAAGCAGGATCTGGAACTGGTAATAGATAATTGAGGATTTCTACTGTTTTATTTTAAGTCTAATATGTAATGCAGTTGAAGCACAGAGTGTATTGTTATTCAGGAATCTTCAAAAGGACAATGGTGTTTCTATGACAGGAGGTATGTATTACAATTGTAACTGTGAAAAGTACATCCAGAAAATACAAGGGTGTTTCACTTCAGGACTAACTTCAACTGTGAATAAATGACATCACCAAATTGCCATACTGCATATAGATCTCAGCAGATATCTTCACTACCATATTAAAATCCTACTGCTTAGGGTCTAGAAAGTGTGAAATGAATTTTTGCTTCAAGAAGTTTAATTGCAAGTTAGTCCTGGTGTGAACACATCCTTTACTGACTTAAACCAGTGCTCAGGAGAAGGCTTAGAAAGGACATCACAGGATTACCTGGAATTAAAATCAGGGTGGATGAAACAGGGGAGTCAAATGGTAATTTTGGACAAAACGGTTTTGAGGATATTGTGTGCTAAGGAATGGTACTGAGGATACTGTATACAAAGGAATGGTACTGAGGATATTGTATGCCAAGGGAATGGTACTGAGGATACTGTATGCCAAGGAATGGCACTGAGGAAATTGTATACAAAGGAAAGGTACTGAGGATATTGTATGCCAAGGAATGGCATCGAGGATACTGTATGCCAAGGAATGGCACTGAGGAAATTGCAAACAGAGGAATGGTACTCAGGATATTGTATGCCAAGGAATGGTACTGAGGAAATTGTATACAGAGAAATGGTATATTGTACGCCAAGGAATGGCACTGAGGAAATTGCAAACAGAGGAATGAAAATGAGCATATCGTGTGCCAAGGAATGGTACTGAGGGTGCTGTATGTCAAGGAAAGGTACTGAAGATATTGTATACAGAGGAATGGTACTGGGGATATTGCAAACAGAGGAATGATAATAAGGATATTATACTCAGAGGAATGGTGCTAAGGATATTGTATACTTATAAATGATACTCAGGATATTGTGTATAAAGAAAGGATATTTTTGGTGAAGGATGATTTTGAGGATATTGTTTAGTGAGTTATGGTGCTGCAGCTAATATTCGGATCAGAATGGCATCAAAATGACAAAAGAAGATACAGGAAGAAAGGGAAGATAACAGGAATGTTGGATAGAGGCAACAGATGAAAGCTGGGTATTGATTGGACAGAGGTCTCACTGAAGAGCCAATGGGAAATCTGCTTCTACTTGAAAGATGGAAATGAAAATAAACATTGAAGAGGATTTGATAAAAATAAATTGAAAGAGGAAATGTATCATTACAATCAAATAGCATAAAATAAAAGGAAACAAAATGTAAAAAGACCGAGGGTCCTCCAGGTTACCAAACATATAGTTTAAAATGCCAGGAATTTTTAATGATGCTATTATTCATTAAATGAGGACCAATGAAAGAAGGAAAAGTTGGATAAATTTTGATGATGGACAATGGTGACTTTTATTACATTACCCCCCTATACTCTTAGTGCAATATCACAATAAATGGGAAAGCATGGTCCTCTATAACAAGTGTATCTTATTGTCTGTGTGATATCTAGCACATAGTTACACAGGCATACACATTTTTTGGCTATTTTAAAATAACATGTGAGGTGACAGCCAGAATTGGTAATTGGGGAAATTTATAACTGACCCCAAGAAAAACCTTAATGCTGCCAAATGAGGAAAAAAAATGTGTGTGTGTGTGTGTGTGTGTGTGTGTGTGTGGAGATATATGGATGTAGAACATACTAAATAAGCAAAACATTTATAGTAGATTTTCCCAGATATTGCTGCTAATGAACAGACAGACAAATGGACAGAACGACAAAAATATGCCAATAGGTTACTGGACCAAAAAGTCAGGTAACCTAAAAAAATAATTATAAATAAATAAATAAATAAATAAATAAATAAATAAATAAATAAAAGACTGAGGTTACTAAGGGACAACACTTTCCACACTGGGTTCTGACACCCACTGGTGATTTTGACAGGTTAACTGGGAACAGTGTAGGGACCAAACATGAGAGGTGAATACAATGCCCTTCACACCACCTTGTTCAAGCAGTGTCCACAGAAAATAAAAAGAATATTGGGAAAGGGGTGGGGGTGGGGGGTGGGGGGTGTTCCAAACTCTACGGGAAAATTGGGTGGTAAAACTGCAGTTGGTGAAGATGGACGGGGGAAAAAGGGCAAAAAAGGTTCAAACTTTGAAGGTATGGTAAGGCAAGAATGAGAGAGAGAGAGAGAGAGAGAGAGAAAGAGAGAGGAAAAGGATGGGACACAAAGATATCCATGATCTGGTATCCTTTGGGTAAAAAGGTCCAAACTCGGAGGAAAAGGTAGGTGACACACAGGTCACTTGATCAATGAGGGGAAAAGGGAAGTGGAAAAAGGTCAAATCATGTGGTGGATAGAGGGTGAATCACACAAATCGCACTGGCACAGTGCATGTTTATATTCCACAGCTACGAGGGTTGGGGTGGTGTGAAAAAACTCTATGTGAGACAGCACATTAGATAGGATATCTTAAACAATTTTTTTTATAAATTATGTATTACCCATATGCAGACCAGAGATGTTTTTTCATCAACTACATTTCTAGCAAATAGGAATAATTGAAAAGTGGTGTATATGGTTTCATTATTACCAAATAAATCTTTTTTTTTTTAAATAATAAAGCTGACTGAATTGATTCCAGGTAAAAGACGCCAAAGAATTTGTGACTGGATGGTTAAAAGGGTCTAAATGCTGGTAACAAAATAATTTCAGAAACCATTACCAAAAGGTGCCCCTTGGGTCAATGCCAATATTTTCAAAAGAAAACAAATTCTAAGTTGACTTCAGATCAGATCAACCAGATGTCCATCTAATTAAATTAAAAGGGTTAGTCATCAATATCAATTTTTTTTTGTAATGAATTGATATAAAGGATATAATTCCGCATGAATAAAAAAAGGATTCCAAAATAATTGAACTAAATGACTTCCAGATTTAAAAATAAAAAATAAATCAATGTGGTATGAAGTTTGGGGTAGGTATGGGATGGGTACCATGAAAATGGTGGATGGGTATGTACTGGTGCTGGTATTGTGTTTCCTGGTAGGTAAAATGGAATGGGTAACAACAGCACAGAGATACTAGAAGTAGAAAGAGGGCAATGAACAGACTCTACTGCATTGCTTTCAATGGTACAGGCTGTTCAACCCCCTGACAGCAGGCCTTGCCATTAGTTTTCATGTAACATGATCTCCAAAAGCCAGTACAGGATGTCTCTTCTGCATTAAGTCTACTGATTGTGACAAATGGGTCTATAGGCATGTTTTGCAGACTGTCAGGGGATTTTTAATGATTTAAAGTCAAAACCTCGATCCTTATTAAAGTTGTTTCTCTACATTATTTCAAAATTTCCCATCTTGTTAATGGTATGTAATATGTCAATGAAACCATAGTCCTATATCATTTAAATGTTTTAGATTAAATTCAAAAGTGGAATACTAAATCTATTGACAGTACATCTGCATGCAGAAATATTTGTCACATTAGTAAAAGGTAAGGAATCAAGGTAAAGGTTGGATTCAAGGTGAAGGTTGGATTCAAGGTCAAGGTCAGATTACAGGTCAGATCAAATGTAAAATGTGCAATGGAGTACAAAAAAATCAGGAAAGTATAGGAATATGGAAGCTTATAGTCATTCCCAAAATCTGCTGGCAAATAGCAACCCACTGAATGTTTACTTAATGAAATGAGAAGCAAAGCTACAAGCCTGTATTTGGTAAGCAATTGCTTTGTACCATTTTAGAACTTGAAAATGTTAAATTTAAAATATGAAATTTTCAATCAATTGTTTTCTTTTATTGCTACATTTTGACAGTGGGTTCTTTTTCCTGTGTAGATTAAAAAGAAACTTTATCCAGTACATTAATTTGGAAAATTGATAAAAAAAATTGAGGTCAAACAGAGCCCTATTGCCAGCAAATTAAAACACAAAGACGGAAATCAAAGAGATGGGCTAATAATAATTGGAAAAAAGAAGGAAAGAATGGATATGCTGAAGTATTGTAGACAGTGCAGTCTGATTTATCCTTCAATTTGCACTCACTGGGCTGTCAATGAGACCAAGATATGATGGAGCAAGGTAAAAGAAGGGCTCGGACTTCCCCAGCTGTTCAGCTGCTTAGTCAACAGCAATAACAACATGGCTGCCATTCCTGTCACAGTTATTGTGCTGTGACATTTACATTTAGTTGATCTGTGACCAGAAGCACAACAATTTAATTTACAAATCAATGTGCTGTCATTTTTCTCTGCTTTTTTTTTTCACCATAAATATTAATGTATGTAACAGAATTTTTCATTTACCTTCAGGCTCATTCTAATCTTTTTCACAACCAAGCACATCTGTATTGCTAATGACTTTAGAAAACAATAACCAAAGAAATGTCTCCAAATGCCAATTTTTCATTAAATTTCACTTCACATAATATTATTTACAATTACGGCAGAAGAAAATGATGGATGGCACTTTTCCCTAAACTGACAGAAATGGCAAAGACATGTCTGTTCTCTTGTTTTCATATTGTAGACTCATACTGCTTATCGAAGGGAAGGGGGAATGATATTGGGGCTACTGATGGACCAACTTATCGCCTGAAATCAAACATTGTCATTGGCTAATCTTCAGACCCTTTCACTTTACAGAACATGGAATTTTTCATCATTTGAAGGGTTGCACACATGAACATTAGCCAATTCCAGTAAAAATCATTACATCATCATGTTATTGCAAACTTAACTACTTTGTATATATATAGCAACAACCCATGGCAATAATCACTGTCACTGCAAGATATATTCTGTACTTTTTTAGCAGGAGAAGTGGATATAGACTAAACTGACATTTTTTTCTTGTATTGTTGTCAAATGTCTGCAAGCAAAACTTAGGTAATCTTTAAGAGAAAGAAGAAGCTGACAGTAGCACTGACTATTGATGGATTACTGCTAATACGTGTCATATACTGCCACTGTGTACATAAGTGAAAAGCTGGTACATATGTATATATCCATATACTTTAATAGAATACAATTGTTTCAATTTTTTAAAATCTGAAATGCATTTATCCTTTAAATTAAAATTTTGACAGGCTACTTTTTTTAAAGAACACAAAAATGTGAGTTTTCATTGAAGCCCAAAACCTTTTTTCCTTTATTTTAAATTCAAAACCAACTTTTGCAAAAAAAAAAAAAAAAAAAGTCTATATTCTTTATTGGTTATATACAGGGGCCCATTGCATTAGTAAAACCCCTCTTAATATATGATACTAACTTTTATACTTTGTACACAGGGCTGTTGTCCCATGAGGTTATTTTCAATAAACATATAGTACTATGTCTGTATAAATATATGAACATCCACCATAAGTAACTGACAACTGGTAAATGATCACTTACCTTGTATTTATGAGATATTGGGCCATGTTAATAGTTTCTGGAGTCCCTGTAATAGTCACTTTCCTGTCCGCCGACCCTTCTTCTACATTCGAGATCTTGATAATGGCACCAGATAGTTGTCTGCAAAAACATTAACAAATTTAGCAATCAAAAATGACAATTAATTTTTTCCATCAATTATTGTCAGAAACAAAATGGAAACTCATCCCAAATCAATACATTAGCAAAACTGGGCATACTACAACATTGAGATATATTTGCTTATTAAAATTATGAAAAATGAGGTTTTACTTTTTCACCTTTTATGTAACAGAAATCTCACCTAATTTCATTTATTTTTTGTCCTCCCCTTCCAATAATACAGCCAATCAAATCATTAGGAATATTCATTTCGTGTGTCTGTTGATTGTTATTTGTCTGCGGGACTGTAGTACGAACTGTCGCATAAGAGCTGATAGGGGATATACCTGAAAAATATAAAAGGTTAATAGGGTAAGATAAGAAATGTGAAAATTATATGTGCTTCAAGTTATCATACTTGAACCCTCTTTGCATCTTTTGAACAATTATGGCATAGAGAAGACCCATAGGAGTGAGACAAAACATCAGGAAAGCAACGATAACATTTGAAGGCTTTTAACAACTAGGACAGCAGAAATTGTTGCCAGATATTCAACCAATCTTCTGGGGGCAATAGCAAAGGCAAGGTGGGGACACTTTGGCCCGATATCCAAGCAACTTTGGAATCCATTATTTGTAAGGGATGCTGCAACATGGGCTATAACCATGGCATTGAGAAAGATGCATTTGGAAAACATTAAATGCGAGATTTTGAAGTCATTCATACATATGGAAAAAAAGAAAGGACTTCTGGGATATAAAACAATCAGCTAATCTGCAACTTCTTCCTCTTAGTGCAGGAATTAAGCAAAAAAAGTGGTAGCAGAAGAAATGAGGAAGGAATGGAACATGCCTTTTCTTACTCCGATCCAGAAAGCCAAAGAATGATGACCTGTTTTGGATCAAGAGAAAATGTCATCTTTATTTGAAATTCTTTGTCAGATCACATTGCCACTACTGCCATCTACAGGTGCAAACTTTCAACTACCAACTCCTATAGACCTTTTGCATGTGAAGTCACTTGTCCCACTAACAAACAATGTTGAATAGCTCACTTAATTTAAAATGAGATCTCAAGCCCAAAATTTGGTTTTAATATTTAGACCCCAATTTTTGTTTTCTTTGAATCAAGATGAATTAATCACAGTGCCTAATACTTGAAATAGAGTGCCCATTAAATAATGGGTATGATACAACTAATGGTTCAGAAGCCCAACATCTACCAAAATGTACACACTATCTCCAGAAAACCTTGTCAAGCCACCCAATAGCACTGTCAAGGTATCAGCCATGCCACACTACACTCAGCATTGCCACTTCCCAATTTGCCTGACCAGGATTTTTATCAACACATCAAGCATAATAAATGAACTCAACTTACAGTTTTAAACTTTGCAACAGTTTCAATTACTCATCAGTCCAGCCTTTTTTAAATTTTTGATGGTCATGCTCACACAGAAACAAGGCACGACTGGAACACGGATAATAGGTAAAGAAAAAAATGTGGTATGGAGAAGCTGAGTGTGGCATAGCAAAGCTGACACCTTGCAATTGGGTAGTATGTAATGGCAATGTTGTGTTTTTTGGTAGTTGTTAAGGTTCCCTGGTGTTGAAAGGCTACAGGCCAATACTCTCTTTATTTTAGTGGACTATTATCTTGAACAGATTTTGACCATTTTTTTTGTCCAAAATGACTCTTCCGAAATCTATAAAACAGATCAAAAGAAATAAACGCTGCAACAATTAAATATGGGCTGTGTGTCTTGGGGGCCTCCAACTTCTTAGTCTGATGGGAAGTCAGAACTCAAGTGACACAGTAGCAAAAAATCTACAGGACTACGAAAAACCTCTCCAACTACTCCCCCTATAGGAGAAATGGATTACCTGTGGGTACTGAATTGTTGTACGTGGTGGGGGTAACTGAAACGTCAGCAGCCTGCTGTTGTTGTTGTTGAGGTGGTGGTGGAGAAATCCAGGTCATCAGTTGGTTGCCATACTGGATGGGTTGTGCTTTGGAATAGACTAGGAGGAGGAAAACAAAATAATACAAAATAGAATAAAAGCAGTGGTGAGTAACTTGTGGTATGGGCTCAACCTGTGGTCATTTTTAAATAAACCCAAAGAAAACTGCAATGGACAATTTTGTTTACATTTTTTCAAATATTTGTTAGGGAACTCTAAATAGCAAGATAGGTACGGTGCAACTGAGTCAAATGTCTTTTTGAAAATATTTTAATGTTTTATATCTTGGAAATTTGTAATAGGTGATTTTGAAATTATTGAATACTTTTTTTAAAGGTAGCCAAACTTGATACATTATTTGTCCCGTTTTTAAATATGGGTTTAACAAAGAGAACTTATTATCAAAATGACAACCAAGAATTTGTTTTCATACACTACATCTTAAAACTAAAAAGGGGGCTGTTCAACAAAATTTTCAACTGAATTTTCACTATGTTGCAAGGCGTGCATAAAAAGAACATGTTTTACATAAAAAACATAGGAACTTTAGTGAAAAAATGTTTGGCAATCATTGTTTTATTTTAAAGAAGTTTTGACAATGATATACCTTAAGCTTTCTTTAAACTAATGCCACTGGCATCTGATAATTTGAAAAAAATATGCAGGGTTGCAACTGGTGTCCATTTTGCATAATCTTACAGTACAAATGTATATCTGACTGTGCATTCCCTATGCATCATGTGTAAATAATCAATAACATGATTAACATCAAACCCACACATTTTGAAAAAATAATACACAACCAACAATGAACACATATGGTAAAAATCTCAATTCTGTCTTAATGAATGATCCAACTGTGTCAATAAAAATCCATACAATCCAACAGAAAGGGTAAACATACAGAAATGACTTGATCTTTTCCAATGGGGAAAATTGTGAATTATATCAATATATTTTTTAAGTCGAATTCTTAAAATGAGAACATTTCTAATGAGTAGTAAGAAAAAATGAAAAGCAAGATATATTGTGATGATGTAGTGTGTTAGTTGAGATTGTTTTATATTGCTACCAGTAGATGTCTCTATAAGTAAAGTGTAGTCCGGTGTGCAAGTCTGAATCTCCCTTGTGATTGGTAACTTAAAGGTAAAACTGTTCACTGTATAATTGGTTCTGATTGGTAAACGTGTACTATCTGAACATGCATATACGGTGTGACTTGAAATAAATTGTTCTCTTTTGGTCTTTGCTCTTAGCTCTTAGGGCTCTCTTTGGACCTTTAGTTCTCTTTTGGCTCTCTCTGACTCTGAGACACCAGTGAGTATATTGTTTTTTGTACCTTCATGAAGCACTCGGCCACGAAGGCGTAACAATATTGCAGTTTTATTCTCTACAGTAAAAGCACCACCAATGCGACAGAGAAATATAATTAAATTTTTTATGATTCTAAAATTGCGTATCTGAAAGATAAATTTTTGCTCTTTGAAAAGATCAAGTCCTAGCCATAACAAACATTTATACATATATTAAGGGATTAGGAAGCAGCTGTGTCATCTTTACAGATGCTGATATGCAATATCCATGTTATTTACTGATATCCCCAATTATCTATTTCCTAAAGCAGATATTACAATCAGCGCAGTTTGTTTTAAAGCAATCATAAATCATAAATCCACTGTTGCTCACTAAATGTTTTGGAATTCAAAAAGGTGGAATTATCCATTCACATAGATTATTTCCAATCTTTGAAAAAAAGGGTTTGCTAGCTAACAGTTAGTTCTTTTACATGATTTTTCTTTTTCTCAAAGCTTTTCTTCAAACAATATCTGACTGTATTAGTGTGAAAGGCGCTCAACCGCTCAACGATGGGATCATACAGCTACTTCCTTAGGGTCAATGTAGCTATGTGATCTTTTGGGTGTAAAAAGCATAAGCAACAAATTAAGGATTAATTAATTAATGACTATGTAACATAGGACCATTAAGCAAAAACATGGCAAAACTTGAAGTGCCTGGTGGACAGGCTGGTCACACTTGATCTATATATGAGCACATTCAGAACAGTGCACTAACAGATCAAATATCAAATATTGCGACCCACTAAAAAGCTTGCCGCTTAATTCAGGATTAGACACTAAATAGATTTCCTGCTGGGATTACACAACAAGCATTCAAGTGAGTCGGCCATATTTGATCCATGGATCTGTTAGTCCCCTATTTGTAAGGACCATGCTACCATGGTAACTATCTGGTTCAAGACGTGCTACATGTACCAAAGATACCCCCAGGTAAACTGATGCCATGGTAGTCAACTGCAAGCACCATTCTGGTACTACAATTATATTTAATTTAGTGCTACTATAGAGTTACCTGCTGATATAGGTCACCAAAGTAACTTCCATGTAGTAAAGTGTTGTTGAAGGTACTTGCAGGCACCATATCATCATATTTACCTGTAGGTATCATCACTATTACAAGTAAATCTAATTCCATGAACAAAAGTTAGTCAAAATCTAAACATTTTCCTATCTTCACTTGACCTACTTGCGGGTGCCATGCTGCCATATGTGCCGTTTCCAGAAAGCGCCATGCTGCCATAGTTACTTGCAGGCACCATGTTGCCATAGTTACTTGCAGGCACCATGTTGCTAGGGTTACCTGCAGGTGTCATCCCCCCAGGTGACCTACCTGCAGGCGCCACACTGCCATAAGTACTGGGCATGATGGTGGAGGCGGACAGCTGTTGTTGTGTCAGCATAGGAATCATCTGATTGCCATACTGGATATGAGGCATCTTCATGATCTGGAGGCAGAGAAATAAGGAAATTGAGGCTTGGTTCAATTTTAAAGAACTCACAGCAACAGGTGCCTGTGTCTTAGTCTCAAAATGACCATCAATTTGGCATATTTTGATTTGTATACAGTGAGACATTTGCTAAACATGACCCAACGGAGGATGATACTTTTGTTTAAAGAACTTATAATTCTTACTGTACACCGTGTACTCATATTAGTTTTAAGGATAAAAGTTTGAACACATTACCACACTAATCATTAACACACTGCAAAATACAGAGACATATTTAAGTTCAATGTTCACTTAAGTCAATCAACAGAAACTGGTTAAACAGCCTAGTTCTGATGTAACTGAATACAGCAAATAAAAGTATTCTACAAGTACTTACATGTCCATGATGTCCCCATCCAGAAAGTTAAGGGGATGCTGGGGGCAGTGTATTAGTGTGAAGAATCTCTATGCATATTTATATAGAGGGGGAGAAGAACTACACAGGTATGAGGACATGTTAAAAAGACACTGTGGTATCTATTTAAGCTTGCATACAAATACTGCACGGGCTACATACAAGACACATTTTGTACAGTGCATCAGGTGGGGATCTTGCTGATCTGGTTGACAGTCTTCCATGATGTGTCAGAAATAACATAATTACCATTTTCAAAATGAAAATTTTTCTTAATTTTCTACAAAGAAAATTTTGCCCATCACCTCAAAGACTTTGTCTTGCATGACACACACACACACACACACACGTGCACAGCAAAACAATATCCCCATATAAACAAACTACACATTGAAGAAGGGGAACCAAATGGTCTCTGGTAGAGGCTGTACAACTGATAAAATTGACAGATGGATGGTTGGGAGGCTCTATGGACACACAGTTTTTAATTCACTAATCACTGTACCTGGACTCACTCTAACAAATTCATTTTGGTTTCAAATAATACTGACCCATCTAAAGTGTGAAACGGTATACCAAATGGCCTATTTGAAAAAGTTTTTTTAATGTGGATAATAAAATTACAGTAAATCTTTCTAGCCACTGTTAAAACAAAACGCTTGTGTGAGTCAAGAGTACACACTAAGAATGTAGGAGCTGTTCCAGCAATGCAGATTATTTGTTTTGCAATGCCAATCCAGAAATCAGGCAAACATTCTTGTATCATACAAGTGCTTGTCACAAATATTCTGTCTTTTGCCATACCCAAAACACTTCACCATCAAGATCTTCCAAATGTGCCTTACATGATATGACCTGTTCTGGATCATCTTATACTGTAGCAGCTGGTTATGTAGATTATGGTACCAGCCCAGTTCAAAGACTCTTTAAAACAATATGCTGATTACCCTGCATTCACTTCATTCAGCTCTACTAGACAAGACACTTGTTTGGGTTAGAGACATTTTGAACATGACATGAGCCTGAATTCCCATGTAGTGTGAGTGGAGTAATCAATTTCCAATGTGATGTATGTTAATTCTACTATAAACACCTGTCAATATAGGATAAGAGTGTTGCCTTTCAATAATTTGTATCTTATGTAGCCAGATTTGATCACGGAACTGAGACTGTTTTGGTGTCATATTCATTTTTGTATTGACTTCAAAACAGCTATTTATGTATACAGAAAAATAAAAGCCCAAGTCATGTTCAAAGATACACTTTGCTAATGAACTTATGCATCTGGAGACTATTTTCACTAGACGGTAAACACACACAAACACACACTCACACACAGTAGGTCTAAAGCAAGTTATAAGGTAGAGTACACTTACATCAGGCGACGTCGCAGCCGTGGCTGGCTGGGGCATCAGGTACTGGGGAGCTGCAGGAAGCGTCGTGAAGGCCTGGCCCCCGGCAAATATCACAGGTGGTACAACAGGTTTTGGACGGTAGGGGATGGTAGCTCCTTTAGGAGGGGACTGGAAGGAAGGATGGAATAAGGATTATAGAGAGGATGAATTAGAGACTGAGTAGTGTAAAGTGAGTAGTAGTTAGAGAAGTTCATGTCGTTGTGGGGCAACCCTGAAACCCATACCTGAAACACATGGAGGGTAAAAATGACCATAAGTTTAAACTGACCAACATTTCAATTTTTAAGTTTTGTTAATAACATTGAATACTAATAAGCTTTTCATTCTATTTTTGAATGAATTTTGGAAGAAGGCTCATGGCTCACTTAAGCAGATCAGGGACAGTGTACTTAATATTTTCGGGGGGAATGGCATTTGGTTCCTGCTGAAAGGTGCTGCCTCTAGATGGACCAAGGGCAATTTAACTACTTGCACAAAATATACGCTGCTCACTGCTATAACTTTATTTGTGTGCAATTAAGAGACTACAGGATTTTTATTAGTTTTCAGTTAAAATGAAAAAAAAAAAACGAATATTTGTTAGTGTTATGTTTTTTTTTTAACTACAGTTAAGATCCAAAACCAACTGATTATTATATCCAATAAAAACAGAGGGTGGCATCCAGCATTTAAGAACAAACAAGGTAAACTTGAATGAGTTATTTCATTATTAACTTTTTTTTAAAATTTTGCAGACTTAAGCAGCAAATGACTTGTAGCAATCACAAAAAATTAATTTCGTCACCTTTGTTCAACAGGTAATGCCATCCCAAAGTGACAGAAATGGATGGCTTTGCGGTTTTCTCTACTGCAGGTGGCACTAGTAACCAAGACAGCATTACACTGAACAAGTAACAATCTAATAGGTGGCAACATCTGGTGATGGCACAGGTTAAACAGTGAACTAAAAAGCCACAACCAAGATGGACTGAAGATGACGCTAGTGTTTGACAAGTAAGGTTTCAGGGTAACACAAAACAATGATAAAGCATGGAGTTGCAGAGCGAAGATATGAAAGAGAGACAGAGAGAAAGAATAACATGAAGTAAAACATATAAAATATTAATTATAGAATCATTTATATACAAATTGACTGCAACATTTGCCACGAGAATAAAAAATGATAACAAATAAAATACTTTAAGTCATATGGTAAATATTTAATAAATAACAACATTGGATCAATGAACAACGTAAAAAAAGTAGCACATTGTTATAGCAGCACCTACTTGAACAGAATATCATAAATATTTGATGCAAAGAAATAGTCTTTTTTTCAAATTATCTGCTACAAAATAACCTTGGCATTTACAACCGAGAAAGATAAATGTCAGACTGTCCTGCTGACTTCAGACAGCAGCATGTTCCAGACAAGCTGATAATATTTGATCAAAATACAAAACTGCCAACAGCCATGTAGCAGATAACTTCCAGCAGTCAAATGTTGTTTATCTTATGGCCAACAGAGAGCAGCAAAAAAAGAAATAATCTTTTTTTTGAACGTTCTTCCCCATCCCTCAAAGATAACCTCCAAGTAGTTCTGACATATTTCAAACAAGTCAAAGTATTATCCTTTCATTTTTTAAAAAATCATATTCCCTTATCTTAAATGTGATGGCTTCTACAAAGTGTTTTGTTAGCCCTTTGTTAAAGTGCCTACACAGCTAATTTAGTCTCGTGGATATATGTGTATAATATTCACAAAGTTTAAAATGTACCTTTGAAGTTGGTTCAGTTTTTATTTAGTTAATTTTTTCTTACTTAAAGCAATTCTTGACTATTTTTTTCTGATAAGAATGGAGTAATGCATTTTCACAGTGGATGAAGACGCATTCAAAACGGGATTTGTTAAGAGAAGAACAACCTCAGGAAGTCCACAGGATGTGAGGTCTGAATCACCAAGTATAGTAGTCCCTTTGTAATCTTGCCATAAGATGATGCCTTTAAGTCGACATCCAGTCGTAGTTAATCCTGATATGAACATGCCTCATAACCCACCGTATCACCATGACATACCTTATAACACAAATGCTATGACAAGTGCTGCCACATATAGTGAAATACTTACATCAATCATTATACAACATATGTGATAGACACACTGTGTGATTGCCTCCGCTTTTCCAGAGATCGTCACCGCTCTCTCTGTTGAATTGGGGAGCATTTCACTCGCCACCTGAATTGATGCTCCAGTTACCTAAATACAAAACAAACAATATCCATTTATGTTGATACACTGAAAAAATCAACAAATAGTACTTGATCTCAACATTACTTTCAGGTAGAGAACTCATTCCAAACTTTCACTGACCTCCCTGATTTCCTTGATCTTGCAGCCTCCTTTCCCAATAAGGCAGCCACACTGACTGGCAGGCACCACTAGTCTCAGGGTTATTGGGGGGAGCGGGACACTATTGTTAGGACCTACTGTGTTTTGTAAATCCTGCAATCAAAATGGTTGAAGTCACGATTACGAACTTTGTAAACCTTAATGGCAATTTTTAATTAATCTTCCTGCTTTTAACACATAATTTATAATTTCTATATTTTTGTACAGACACGATACATTTGAGCACTTGAATACTATGACTGGGTCATGTTAAATTTTTGCCACTGGAATTCTTAGTTTATGTCAACCCTGTTGTACCCCAGTCTCAACCAGCTCAACTACTGCAATGCACAGTTACAATGTTACAGGTGGTGCACATCCCAGCACAACTGGAAATGAGCCAGTAATTCAAACTCTTCATATCTGACTGAAGCATGGCTTTGAGTCAAAGGGACTGTTCACCATAAATTGTCAAGCTAGCTAATATGCATTCTCCTGGCATTGAGTATAAAATATAAAATCTGGTGATTATAACATTAAACTGGAAACAATTGGAGTGCACGTCCTTTAATCTAACTATAATTAGCACGAGTTCCTTAGAGTTAGTGTGCATTAGCTAGGTTGACAAAATTCAATGTGAACGGTCCCTTAGGACAGGAGCAAAGCCCACTGTACAACAATTTTATATGTGTCAAATTACATGAAAAAAGTCTGGGTTTAACTTAACTGTTAGTTCTTCTGAAAACACATTCTAACAATGACTTACCTCTTCAAATTTTTTACAGATCATATCAAAGGCTTTAAATATTTGGTCTGTTGTGCCTGTGATTGTGACAATTCGTTCCGGGCATGAGCCATCAGAGATATTTATTTTTGCACCACTCTGAAAGAAATAAAGGCATCTTTTAGTCATATATATAAACCGTTATTTTAGCTTTGTTTATAGAAATTTTGACAAATTTTCTAGGTAAATATTTCAATGATAAATGTCAGTATGATTGTATATCAGGCCAGAAGTCTCTCTCTCTCTCTCTCTCTCTCTCATCCATCCATTTATCTGTTTGTGGCAGCCAGTAGCAAGTCAATCCTATCCATCCTGATATCCAGAATACTGTTGGAGTAATGCAATCTCCCATATTCTATCATAATAGACACAACAATATAAACTATATACCTGGGAAGGACCATAACAGACACAACAACATGAACTTTTAACAGTGAAGTAATACAAATAAATCTTTTGATAGCAGGCCGTTGTTACCAGTGCTCAGTGATTGGGTATTCTTATTCTTCTATACATAAGTAAAGGCAATGATCACTTATTCACAGCATCAGTTAAAATATCCGTAAAATGCTTTATCTTCCTTCACAGGTGCCTTCTTCTATACATAAGTAAAGGCAATGATCACTTATTCACAGCATCAGTTAAAATATCCGTAAAATGCTTTATCTTCCTTCACAGGTGCCATAAACACAGATCACCTGTGAATTCATGCTACATTGAACTTTGATAATTTCTTACTTATCTACTTATGACACAAGTTTGCGAAACCTCTGAGTTAGCCACTGGTTGCATTGACCCGTATGGAAACATGGTATCCCAGGCAAGATTTTATCTCTCTAGCTCATCAAGTTCTCTCCCATCATAAAGATAGCACAGGTGAGTGGGGCAGATGATATCCAGGCTTTACAGTGTTCAATTTCCCCCCAAGAATCCTTCAATTTTAACTTTCATTTAATCCCTTTGATACCATAGATATAGTAAACAGGGTTGCCAATTTTATGCTTATGATTATCATTAGGCAAGAACTATATATATTTTTTAATCTGGTTATCCTTAGTTTCATAAAGGCTCTCTATTGTATAACATACAGTACTCCCACTGCTGCTTGTTATTACACTTTCTGTGGCTGCATAATGGTCTGTCTCTCCTGCCTTCTTTTATAAATCAATAATCAATAACTTGACAAATGAAAGATCTTTGTATTTTGAATACTATAATTTTGGTAAACTCATATATATTATAATAACTATTGTAATTGATAATCTTATCAAATGTAAATATTATACTTGCACATTTTCTCTTAACTGAACATAACCAAATTTGATCCCCTTTCAATTTGTATCGTAATTCGTTTACTAAACTTTGTACCTTCAACCTAAAACACACATATATATTTAGCACGTCCTATACTCTACTTCATGTAAATACTGGCAAGGTGTTGATTACTTTCCACCAAATATGAATATCGAATTGGGATTCTCTTGAGGTGGTTACGCAATTTCCCCATCCAATATTGCTCCAGTTCACCTTGTACGCTGGCTTTTTATAAGTTTTTTATTGAATTAGTAGAGTATTTGCCGATACTCTCCTTTGCAAAGTTCGTGCCTGGACCTAATGTTTAAGACATCAGGTAAACTCTCTCGGCAAAGTAATTGGAGAAGGCAAATAATCTGTCAAATCTTATCCTCAGTTTCTTCAACAAAATCATAATATCTGGTAACAGCTGAGGCCAAAACACTTAACCTTTCAAGCTTTCTGCATGATGTGGGCTGCCAGCATTAATTCTGTATACTAACACTTGTGGCTTCAGGTCTTGAATGCTCTCAGGCCCATAGTTTAATGACCAAGTATTTCAGTTTTCCATCCAACATGACGTGAGAGACATTTACTTGTCACCTCGGGGTCATGTAAGGTCAGGCCCAAGGTCACCCAGCAGGTATAAAATTAACTGGCAAAGACCCCAGTTCTTAGCAGTACATAACAACTGTAACAAAAAAAAAGAAAAAAAAAAAAAAAAAAAAAAAAAAAAAAAAAAAAAAAAAAAAAAAATTTGCTTGTGAAGATGATTGTTGTTTCCTCATTTTTCAAACTGATGTTTTTTTTTCTTACTGTTTCAATCTCAACTCATTTTGCATATAAAATTCTTAGTTCCACTGACACACAGTGTGTTGGTGGTGTTAGTCTATAGAACAAGGTGACAGATGACATGCCAACATTGTGGCTATGCTGTAATTTGATCACATTACTGCAAACGCCACTATGCAACCATTTTAGGATGTGGTATTAAAACTGGTGGTACAATAAACATCCTGAGATGCACCCTTAATCATATATTCTTTCCTGTAACTTATTTAAATGCTTGATTGACTGATTGATGTTGAAACTAATAAAGGGCGATTAGCGATATTAATTCTAATTTTTTTTCATGAGCTCATCTCATCTTGATTTATTTCGCCCAAGGTAAAGATTTTTTTCTTTTTTCATAATTCACCTACTGTAAGAGAAATACAACACAGGTTTCCACATTAATCTTTTGAACTAATAAGAAATGCAATATGATTATTCAAGGTCCCATTATAAACAAGTACCACCGTTTAATACATCTCATGGCTGATCGTGTGACAATCAATTTCACTTAAAAATTCATCCCATTCGAAACAGTAGCACCCTGAAGAGTAACAGAATTAGGGACCTAACCACGGGCATAGCTGAACTGTCTGTTTTCTTACATGATCTGTAACATGAAGCACATGCTGAATGACCACACAAAGAAAAGAACCAGTGACTATTTGCACACATGCAAGTTATTTTCCTTACAAGTACCCTAACACTATTATGTAACACTGTATGTCGCGAAAACACCCTCAAGCATAGGCAAGCTGAGATAATTTCCAAATTAAGGCCTGGCGCCTGGCTGATGGGCAAGGTAACAATAAGAACTCTGGTATTCTGTCCAGACATAACTTCTATACATGCCAGAGATTACAACCATGAAGTACATGTACATCGAATCAAGTGACATTTGTAGAATTAGATTTTTTTTTTCAAACAAAAATGATCCATAGACTGTGTCTAATGATCCATTTACAAGAAATTCTAGAATTAGGTGTCAATGAACAATATTATAACCATTAACTGCCATTTCTTAGGAGTGGATAGAAATCAAAACCAAGTTTCTCCTGGTATATATCAACACTGCAAACACTGTATGGCAAGGAAAGGAAGAAAAAAAATAATAAAGCAGTTTCAAAAGGCAACATTGTAAAGACATACACCTGGGCTACAATGCCAGGTATGTCGAGACAAAAGATAAGAATCATGAACAATTTCCTCTCCAAATGTGACAGTTATTCTAACACTCCAGTCTACTACCAATCTAACCTGCATAGTACAACACTTCTACTGCATGGTAAACAGATGTTGATTGCAATCAGTCAAACTGAATTCAGGGCATTTAACTTAGATGTACTGCTACCTTTCCTTAACAAACAAAATCTAAAGATATAAGGGGGGGGGAGGTTATACCCCGTTCACACTACAGTTGCCAAAATGCGCATTTCTATAATTCAGATTTTTCGTAAGGAATCCGATTCGGTATTGCGTTCACACTCGCTAAGCGAATCCAAATCCCACGTTGAAAATTTCAGGTTTAACTTCCTGTTTTGAACACTCGCGCATGCGCCACACAGGAAATCTTAAAATATCAACAAAAATTTGTGACGACAAATGCAACTCAAAAGACATTCCAGCATTTTTGAGAAGTATAAGGTGGCAAAATAAGTTTGTTTCCTCATGTTGTAGTGAGTGGTGACCGCCAAATACGTTTGGTGCAATCACTAAAGTAATAAACCAGCGTTCATAGATACCCGCACTTATCTGCACACATGCGCAGTAAGATCTGTACAGGTGTCGATTCCGGTAAGTTATCCGGATCGCACTTAGAAATCCACCTCGCTTGCAGGATTTTGAAAATGCGCATTTTCAAAATCCTCTTGCGTTCACACTACTGCATTTATTCGAATTGTGACCTAATTCGCAACTTATCCGGATAACTGAGCGTAGTGTGAACGGGGTATTAATTGATTCTGCAGCCATCAGAATAAGAGTTGGCCATGCTTACACAAGGGTTACACTTCTTGGTGAGATATTGGACTCAAGTGTCCTACTGAAGATGAAACTATAAAAAGTCCAGTTTAGTTAATTTTTTGTCGACAAACATTGGCATATCCTGACAGTAAAGGTCAAGTGCATGTGAGGTGACATTCTGTGCATGCTGGGATACACTGACACATCCATGTACCTTCTCCTATTTGAGACACACTGATCAATCACTTTGGATGTCACTTTGTACATGAGACTGGATGCAAGAGTAAGTCAGAGAGGATACATGTATACAACACATATGTAAGTTAGATCGGATGCATAACCAAGAATGTTCAGCCAAAATTAGCCCAGAAAAATGAGCCCCCAAAGCCACTTTTATTCCCAAAAGTAAGGTTTTGTTTTTTGGTACCTGTAGACACCTGAAAGTTTTATCATTCCATAGAAGTGATTTAACATATCGTTACTATTTTCTTGACATAAACCTCTTGGGCAACATGGACAAAAGTATCATATTTTGAAATTAGATGTAAAAAAATCAAATGAAAACTTGTTTTCAATTTTTCACGAATCTGTGCAGCATTTCCTAGAAAGATATCGGTCAAAGAAAAGTGAAAACAGCTAGATTATGAAATCTAATTTTTAGTAGTAGTTGGTCAGAAAATAACAATGATGCCAGCACTGACTGAAAAGGACTCTATCCTCATTTCACTGATAAGAATACATCCTTGTTCCAGTGATAAAAATAAAGAAATCTGTAGACATGAGCTTTAGTTAAGAGAGAACAGCTACACCAATGTAAGACTAGATGACAACATTTTATTGCTCACTACTTTAAAGCATGTGGATTTAAAGATGCATATTAAGCAATTATTTGTGCCAAATTATTGCTACTTAACTTGAAGAAACATTACCATATCGTTTCAGGAAGTATCATGTTAAGATTTACCTCAGTTTTGTTCCATCATTTCCTGAAAAATGATACATGCACAGATATCTTCTGCTTACTTTCCGAGCTTTATGAACAGAGGGAAAGTAATAGTTCAAATTTACAACCAGAAATTGAAAGGAGGTACAGTTTATAAGTCATATTTTCTGCAGCGCCAGATTAATTTCGGTTTGTTTTTCGGCGAGTGGATTTTACCTGTGTTGTGTGAGAAAATTATGCTAAAAGCTTATATTCTTCACAGTTCAATTGCCATCACTTCACATGTATCTTTCAACTGGAGGGAATCTTAAGAACACATGGTGCAAAGGGGCCCGGTGCAAACACAACTGCGATAATAAAATCTCCCTTTTTCTTATCAGAGGAAGGTATATAGCATTTGGAAACACTATACATATAGACAATTCCAACCGAGTCATTTCGAAAAGAGGGGGGAGGGAGAACATTGGCATTTACCTCAAAGAATGATATGGTAGCACTTAGAATGACAAATGGCTTCCTACCCCACTTACTGCAGCAGGCTTCATCCACACTGAAATTAAGTGCATTCTCAAAAAAACACAACTGGCGTCTTTTTAGATTACCATAACATTACATTCCAAGCCATGGCAAAGGATATTCGCAGGAAAGAAAATGGACATTGCAGGTATGATTACATGGGAGGCAAAGGTGAGCGTAAATTTAAGCTGCGCCAATAAACCATGTGCCATTCATGGCAAAACATGGTCAGGGAAACAGGGAAAACAACTGCTTTTCCATCTCAATCCATGTAACCTATCCCCCTCTACTTATAGCTTTAACCAAGCATAGTTCTCTTAAAACTACAATAGGCACCTATTCTGTTAGATCAGTATGTAGACATGGGACTTTTTCAAGCCTGGCACAATTTTGTGCAGCATTGACTGCCACTGAGTCTAAGTATTAAGTTATAACCCCCCCCCCCCAAGAAAAAAAGGACAACTAGCATCCTTTCATGAACCAATATGTTAAAAGAAAATACTGAGGTAATGATGCACATTTAGACCTTCAGCTGTGAAACAACAGGTGTCACCACAGCTGCCACACATGCACTTCTATCTAGATGGAGTCACAAATCACCATAATGCCCTGCAACATGATCTGCAATGCGGAAAGAAAATCCAGAACATTGTTGGCCAAAGGGAAGTGCTGGCATCATCATCATCATCATTGCTCTTCGTCCCGCGTGGGACATAAGGCCACGAAGTGCTGGCAAGATTATTATAATTATGTTAATTTTTCAAGAAATTCATAATTTTTTTTTAAAGTTCCAATCCTACAATTTCTAGTGGAGTTGCGGTCCAAACATCTCCATTTAGTTTAAGTGTACCTGCACTGTAACATCTCTCAAGAACCACATCAGAAAACATGTTAAAATTGAGCACATTTTTTAGAGGCAAAGTGGTTTTAGAGTGGAGCAATAACACCAAGGGTACAAGTTCAAAGGAATACTTTATAGTACCAGTGGTTGGAAGATGGCCTCGATAAGATAGCATAACAGGGAAGGTAGAAATACATGCAGAGATTAAATAGTAGGATACAAAGAAACGGATTCAATGATGTAGAGGCATGAAGTGAATGGAGAAAGAATAAAAATCTCACTAATTTTCATCTCTACAACAGATATAGTCTACCTAGAAAAAAGTTCATCACTGTTCACAATTTCTCATGGTTTTGTGTCCAACCATCAATACTCATCTCATGGTCTCCAATCCATTCATATCAACTGAAAACAATGCTATACACAAAATGATGAAAAGAGAGAGAGAGAGAGAGAGAGAGTACTCCAAGAGCCCAAACATAGATAAAATAAAACAAATCCTAACTATAATCACTTCTTTTGCTCCTAAATCATTGCCTGTCCTCAAAATCTTAGAAAATTTTGAGATATGTCCACACACAATCAGCCAGACCAACGTTGATGAAAACAAAAAACTTCTTAGATGGCAAAGGTAACCAGGGCCCCGTAACTCGAAAGCATCGCGCATTGCGACCGAGCGCAAGCATCTCGATTACATAACCCACCCATACTCGCCCCATATAATACATTGTAGCCTCTATGTAATGTCGCCATATTCGCAACACACGATGCTTTCGAGTTATGTGACCCAGTTCTTTATCACCAACTTTGGCTGCAACAGCTGGGAGGGCATTAGCTGAAGTAGGGCTGTGCTGGAGGAGGAATAGCTAAGGGGGATTCTATACCTAAAACTGAAACATCTAATCTATCAAAGTATTTATTGGGAAGAAGTATTTTGAAACCTAAACCAAAATAGATTTGACTGTATGGATCTGTGATATTTTTTCTAAAACTGAATTCATACAAATGTTTTCAAAGAGAAAGATGAAGTTTCAGATCTCCCCAAAATCCTTTTGCACCAGAACGCTTTCATCACACTCGCACCCGCCGAAGTTCACTGACCTACTTTATGACTCAAATTCTCTCATGTTTCTTTGGTAGATTTATTGGTCTGATATTGGTTGCTGGTTGGAGAGCAGGCATGGACAGAGCATGTGATCCTCACATTTTCTATGCCATTTCAGCAATACATTTTTTTCAAAGGTAACAAGGGGAAAAATTGGAAAAAGCAGAAATATAATTATTTGATAAAGAAAGTACTAAAATTAGCAAAGGAAAATATTTGAAACAAAAAAATACTAGAAGTAAAGAGGAGAAATTTCCTAGGCAAACCTGACAATATAAATGAAAAGCTTATGGTATTGCTATAATTGTGCCATAATTTGCATTGGAGGCATAACAATTGATTTTGTCATGCCTTTTGCTATATCAAATTTAAAAAAAAAAAAAAACTTATTTAACAGGCTGTTAGGGCATGGTTTTAGACCTACAATCATACTGACTTTGATATGTATCTAATGGAAAGAAAAGTTTTTTGATATCCTAGAACATGGAGTGTGCAGTAGTATGATATTTTCTTGCCAGAGCCTTCAATCACGCAATCCCGTGCAGGAAACAAAGCTAAGATATATGTGGCTTCTACATACCTCTTCCCTGTATTTCTTTATGTTATCGCCTTTCTGCAAATAAAAAATTATAATGTCAAGCCAAATAAATAAATAAATAAATAAATAAATAAATAAATAAAGCACTGGTTATAATATTTACATTTAACACCAAACTCATTTTATTTTTTGATCTGTGAAAAAATGTCGATACCATAATTTTATGTACTGTTGAAAATATGATTCCAATTGGAACTAACCATTTAGGAAAGAAGATAAATAAACCTACCTTGCCAATAATACTGCCTACTTCCTGAAAAATAAAAGAAATCAATGTAAATTATTCACAAGGCAAATGTTTAGCAAACGGATATTTTTTACACTGAATAGATGAAGATTTCAAATCATTCAAACAATCAATATATTTAATTAAGACACAGTATAGCTTTATCTTAAAGTGGTCACCATATTAATTCAAACACACATTTCACATATAATTTAAGCATCAACTCAAAAATAAACATTTTGTTATCAGACTTTCCTTGCAAGAAGGCACACACACAGGCTTAGACACACATTTTCAAGTAGCTCTATACATTCCACCTCACAAACAGACCATCTGAGAGCTTGGGTCTCCGCCATTACTTATTCTAAAATTTTTTTTTACAATGCGATTATACCATATACATTATATCCACTATTTCCATTTCACTTATCCGTGGATTATGCCCAAAGCTCAAGAGTATACTTTTTATGTATAACATTTACTTTTTATGTATCTTAATTTAGATAAAATTTTTCTTTTTTGTATTGAGTGGAGGGGGAGTCTTGTTGTATCATCTTGATCAAAGATAATGGATCATTCCTTTCTTGCAGGAATCGTTTTTGAATATACCCGTGTAAAAAAAAAAGAAAAAAACTTACATCGCCTAACGTATTCAATAAAAACACTACAAATTAATCCTCGACTCATCATGGCTTCTTTGATCGAACCGAGTGATGCACATATTCCTTTACATCTGTGTTCCCAATAATGCATCTGAGCGTGCTAAACATTCTACCTTATTTATGTCCATTGCCATGCTTACATTTAATTTCATCAGTCTATCAATCATTTTGAGTGTCTGTGAAGTGGTTAAAAAAGTAGAGCATATAGATGAGAAGAAAAACGATATCTTCTGCTTGCAACTAAATAATTCTAATAGCAAATCCCAGCAAAACACAATACCAAATAATTTATAAGGATAGAATTCACAATATTCAAATATATATATATATATATATATATATATATATATATATATATATATATATATATATATATATATATATATATTCATGATAATATTTTATTATACAAGATAAAACTTTATGCAAATAATTTTTATGCTTGTATACAGTTTTTAGAAATAAATGGAAACAAGCCAGCAAAGCTGTCAAATGGACATTATTGACAAAATTTATAGAAGCAAAAACATTTTAACTCCACAATAATGAACAATCAATGAAAGTGCCCTTAATTTTGAGGATTTAATGCATTACTAAATAATACTCAATAGCTTATTAACAACCAAATTTCAGTTATGAAATACTGTTACTGTGGTCATTCAGAAAATATCAGTAGCATAAAGCTTCAAACCATGTAGCAATTTAAACACACACCCCCACAAATGTCTTTAAATGAAAGTGAAATATTCACAAAAGATATTTGCAAAAAAATAATCCAATCAATTGGTTTTCGAGCTGGAGTTATATTTCAGTCCTCTAAATTAAAAAATAATAAGTAATAAAATTTTTCCTTTTCTGGTGTTTATGAATAAAAGATGTGTAAAGACAGCAGTGGTGCACATACACCATGTTCAGACACATTGAATCTGTCCATGAAGAAGGAAAAGATGAAGGAAAAAAAAACAGTGTATTTTGATGCTAGTCAAGCCAGTCACAGGTGTGAATAACTGGTATCAAGGTGGGCAAGTTCTGCAGGCACAGAGGGTGCCCAAAATGTTCCAAATTCTCTGATATCTCCCCAGGAATCTGAGTCATTTCCAAGCATGCCAGCTCTGGATGGTTTCTTTGGTGTTTTGTTACTGACAGATTGCTTGTATGCTATCTTTTTATCAATCCATTTGACTTCTAACCTTTGCCCCTCTGTGCTTAGTGGTCAGGTTGCGTTTCTTTCTTTCTTTCTCTCTCTCTCTCTCTCAAATGCGCATTCTTTTATCATGTGAGCCAGGCGTATGTTCACGCAAGCTTTGAGTGATTGAATGAGTATAGTGCGAGCTTGACCGCATTATTAACAATATCTCTGCCTGATGATCATTCTTTATCCACCTTTTATATTGTGTTGTACATAACACAACAAAAAATGGTAAGACATCTTCTCAACTGATTAACATTTGTCTGAACAATTCAATCACTAACAACCCTAAAGCTGGCACCTTCACTACAATTGAAACCTCAAAGACAACACTAAATCTGAAACTAAACAATGAATTTCATTTCAGTCATCACTTTATAAATCTGAACCCATCTTTTGCATTAATTCAAGACATAATAACCATCTGCAAGGAGGAGCCATGTTTTCACCAGCTTTCAGAGGAGAATGTTGACTAAGAAAACAGCAGCTGTGGATGTTGAAACACGGCAGAAATTGTGATGTCCCTGACAGGGGTAACAGATTTCTTTCACTGCAAAAACGGCCTTTTCATTAAGTTAACTTATAGGATAACTTTGGGCATGAGATCAGCTACTGAGTGAAACTGATCCGAAAAACTGGGTCCCTGATTGGAAAAGAAGTCAAAGCTTGTCCATTTGTCTAAAATGTCTATCCATATCTCTATTTCATACCATTCATTACAAAACTTTTTTAAACATCAAATTAATTTATTTCAAGCAAAAAATGCAAAAGAGAATTTCATATTTTTTTTACTTTATCATTGAAATATAACCATGCTACATATGGCATTCACTTTCATAGTGTTGTCTTGTAAGAAACTTAAAATATCTGTACATTTACCCAAGATGAACACTTTCAAATGCAACTGATTGTTACCTGTAAACTAGTAATCATAATAATCTTGCCAGTCATTACTATAGATGCCTTTTGTTCTTTAATATTTGGGAATAAAACTGTGTGTGAGCTGGAAAGGGTAAAACCTGTCAGGGGCGTAACCAGACCTTTAAAAATTGTACGCACAGATTTTTAAAATTCCCAGCAAAATGTAGACTAACGCAAGAGATGAAGGACAGCGTAATTACAGCATATGTACCACACATCCCAGCTTAATTTCCATTTATAATAAAATCATCATTTAGTCAGAAATATTCTCGCAATTAAAAAAGTTTCAATATTCTTACTACCCAGAACGGTATATTTATTTAAAAGGAGGCTAGCTTCGCATATGTGGAACCCCCTTCGAATAATCCTGGATCCACCTCTGAGTTGAACTAAAACACGGTTTCATTCACCTTACATGCGGATGCATGGCTCCCAAAAACAACCAATTGTACGACACAACAGAGCTCTGATTCATCTAAGTTTAATTATTTGTTTGTAAAAATTGCCCATGTCACCCTGTTACTTTTGGAGGGGTAAGCTGGGTCAAGTCCCTGTCAAAATTCTTTGAAGCTTTGCAGGAAAAATTCTTCCTTTGTTTCTCTAGCTCCTTCTTAAACCTGGTGTCCAGATTTTATCTAGTGCCCCCAGGGTTGCGGGAGCTGCTCTTTGAAAATAACACTCAGGCAGATTTTTACCTGAGATAAATATCGCCAGCGAGAATGCGTACGATATTCTCAAGAAAGAGGGTACAGAAGAGTTGAGGGCCACTGAACCCTCCAATTAAGAGGTAAAGGAAGTTCCAGTTAGATGGGCGATTAAGATAGGACTTGTTAAGGTTACAGGCATTGTTTACCTCAGTTTGCAAGACGGGAGGGGGGCAGAACAATTGTGCCTATACAATTGATACAGAGGATTTGTACATACAGGTGACTTTAATAAGCAAAGGATTTTCTTTTATATTCCGTGAAAAATACACTAAATTTATATAAGATAATATCATGGTTGGCCAAAAAATTGTACGCACAGTGCATCCGTGCGTATGCCTAGTTACGCCCATGCCTGTGTTCATTTCTTATGTATAGTCACCTGCATGTTGTTCATAGCACGTCTGCTTTTAGACAAGAACACTTGTTTTACATATTTTGCAAAGGGAATGAACAACATGTTGATAAATGCCAGTTTTTTTTCATTAATCATCTGTCATCCTTTTTACCCTTTTGCTTTTGCTACTGTCAGACCCCCTGATGACTATGCAAGTTCAAGATTATGATTTTCACATTAACCACAGCAGGCCTATGTAATCTTTGTTTTAGTATCTCCTTGTCCAATCAAAGGTATATCTAAAACAGAGCAAGGGAAAAAGGGAAAGAAAATAGTATTTCTGTGTAGAAAATAATGTATATTGACATGAATAACAGGGTAAAAATCAAAGCAACAAAGAAAAAGGCAAAGAACAGAAATAACACCATTTTACGAGGAATGGGGAGGGGGCATATTGGCCCCTGGGCTTACTTCACGATGATAAAAGTACATATGCAGGTATGTACAAAATGGACACTTTGGAACAGTAAGTTATTTTTGTACACCACTGGCCTGCTAACAGACGAACAATTATAGAAGTTCCACGACCTTACATTTTGTTAGCTCTACGGGTAAATACACACCATCCCATGCTTTTGTGGCCAATGTTATTATGGAACTATGCCACTGATGGTGGTGCAAAAATAATTCAGTGCTATGCAATGGACTGTTGAACAAAAAGAGAAGCAGTGGAGCTAAACAGCAATGGTGCACACTTTATATTTTGTATTTAAAGAATCCTCAAAAGTTCCTTTAAAATGAACAAAAGTTATCTTAAAGCAAAATTTGATTAAAAAAAAATGTGAAGTCTAGCTACCAGTCCATTGACACCTCTGTGAGAACAGGTACATTCCATTCCAAAACAGTACCGGTTTGAATGCACACAAGGGCCATTCACACTGGCTATGTTGACCATGGTTAATGCCTGAAGGTGAATGACCTATTTACTCCTGACAGCGGTCCAAATAAACGTAGATCATAGATCGTGGTTAACTCTAAATCTAGACTAGAACATGTTTACCTTTGGAACACATGGCAATGTATCATGTTTTGCAGGTTATTTACAATACTGACACATTGTGTCCTGTTTTTATTATATAAATGTTTCTTTTTAAGAGTAAATGAAGTGTTTTATACAGCATAACAATTGTCTCTACTTGTATTCCCACCATATT